CAAGATTCCAAAAACACCATGCTGGAAGAAGAGTTAACCACACAAAACATCTGGAGATTTCCTCTAGAGGCCACCAGAATAACCCATGACACAGCCACTTCAATAGACTGTATATGCTCAAACATACCATATGCGTATATTACTGGACAAGTTGTGCATACTGGTCTATCTGACCACACTTGAAAACACACCAAGAAGACACTTCCTAAAGATTTGTAATGAAAAGAAGCCTAAACAACACAAACCTAAACAATCTAAAGGCTCACCTCCATCTACAAAATTGGGAACATGTTTACTCTTCACCGAATCTTGAAACCTCCTACAACAAATTTCATAATATTCTTCAAACAGCACTGGATTATACATGCCCATTAAAGAAAACTAAAATTAGTACAAACAAAAAACATATGAAGTACTACGATCCTGAAGCAAAATACCTTAAAGAGAACTTTTTGAAAGCTCTGCAAACGTTTGAGTTAACGAACAGAAATGAAAACAAATTAGAAATGATTAATAGAAAAAGGATATACGACATGAAACTAAGTCCTCAACAGCTAGCTTCATAGAACAAGCTGACAACAAACCAAAAGCACTATGGCAAGTTATAAACAAGGAAAGGAAAGGAAAATGTGAAGAGAAAACCCTTACAGAATTAGAAATAAATGGCAAACTCACAAACGACACAAAAGAAATGGCCGAACACTTCAACACATTCTTCTCAAATATAGCAGAAAATACCCTTGACCAAAACAGAGCAATCGTTATAGACCCTGAAACAGTGCTGAATGGAGAGGAACCAGTCTGCCCAATACACCTTACCCTAACTTCAACATCCTATGAAGAAGTTAAAACGATAATAAACTCCCTTAAAGCCAAAACATCAAGTGGAATAGATGAGTTTTCCTCTAAGATGATAAAGCACTGCTCTCAAGAACTCATCTCTCCTCTGGTTTATCTTATAAATAAATCATTTAAAGAAGGCAAATTCCCATCCGCCATAAAAGTCAGTAAAATCATAGACAAAAAGAATTAAATATAGACCGTCAGCTGTGCTGCGGTTACCATAAGTTCTGGCGCACACCGCTGGGATCGCCACGGTAGTTACAGCGTATGCGCTACGTAAACTACAGCGGTGTGCGCCGGAACTTATGGTAACCATGGTAACCGCAGCACGGCTGACAGTCTATATTTCATTCTTTTTGTCTATGGTAAAATATACCCCAAACATAAAAAAGGACCAACTGAAAATGCTCAAAACTACAGGCCCATCTCTCTGATCTCCAGTTTCTCTAAAATCATAGAAAAAATTGCTCTGGCTAGATTAATGGCACATCTTAATCATAACAAACTCTTAACTGACAGCCAACATGGCTTTCGGAAGGATAAATCTACATCCTCAGCTATAACAGCACTAATTGAGTACGTCCTAGACCAGATAGAAAACGAACAATACATTTTCCGCCATCTTCCTTGATTACAGTAAGGCTTTTGACTGCCTGGGCCACGACCTGATATGCAAGAAACTCAAAAGATTCTGTATAAGAAACTCTGCGCTAGAATGGTTCAAAAGCTACCTAACGGGACGCTCACAAGTCGTGGAACTGAAAAACTCATCAAATGAAGTCACAGAAAGTTTCAAATCTTCAAAAAGCAAGCTGACGAGAGGAGTTCCACAAGGCTCTGTATTAGGCCCGATTCTATTCATCTTATTGACTAATGACTTCCCCAAACAAATTGAGAGTGAAAATGCTGTTGCAATCATGTATGCAGATGACACAACCATTTTGATCAAGGACAACACAGCCCAAAACCTTTACCTTAATTCAAAATCGATCCTAAATAAAGCTATCCTCTACTCAAAGAACAATGACTTAGCAATAAACCCCACAAAAACTACAACTCTGAATTTCAGTAAGAAAAAAGACATAGTCCCTCAATTAGAGGATGTAACAATAGAAAACCACACAAAATTTCTCGGTGTTATCCTTGATAACAATCTAACATGGAAAGAGCACATCAACCACTTAAGCAAAAAAATCAGTACTGGAATATATGTCGTCAGAAGAATAAACTACATAGGCGGACTCTCCGTGGCCAAAACAGCTTACTTCGCACTGGTAGAGTCGCATCTTAGATATGGCTTGACAGTGTGGGGAGGAACTTCAACAAAAAATATGAATCAAATTCTTGTCCTTCAAAAGAAAGCCATAAGAGCCCTCGCCAACCTTGTCCCACCACAGACTTGCAGACTAGCATTCGCAAACCTAGGAATCCTCACAGTGGTGTCTCTCTACATACTTGAATCTATTAAGTATGTGAATGAAATAAACCCCCCAAGAAACCGAGACCTGCACCACTACAACACCCGTCATTGCTCCAAATTTGCACTACCAGTTCACCGAACAACTCTTTGGGAGAAAAAACCTTCCTACACCGGCTGCAAGCTGAGGAACCATCTACCTGACTACCTGAGAGACCTGACTGGCAACAAGCTACACCAGGAGTTGAAGAAGTGGCTAATTGCAAGACCCTTCTACTCAATAAAGGAATTTTATGAAAATTAACATGTACAATTCACTATTGTATTGACACTATTGTAATTCTTGACGAATTAACAATAAAGAATATTGTATTGTATTATATTGAACTGTTAACACTGTGGTGAATGAATATACTTACCTTGGTATTACTTTAACTCCCTCATTATCTTGGATAAAACATTTTAAAGCAAAAGAAAAAGTGTCTAAATTAGCTATTAATTCACTTTGGGGAAATCTTATAAATAGCAACGAAGTCCCACTCAGTGCCAAACAATTGTGTTTTAACTCTGTCATACGATCAATTATTTGTTACGGCGCGCAAGTGTGGGGTTTCATTGACAGCGATTCTGTGGAGTCTGTTAATAAGTTTTTCATCAAGAGATTATTTCATCTTCCGAAAAACACACCAAATTATTTAATTTATATTGAATCATTAACAAATAAGATATACTTTTATTCAAGCGTGTTAAATATTAACTATCTATTAAACGTGTTATCAATGTCTGAAAGTCGTTTACCTTTTAAATTAGCCAGACAAATAGTAAACAAGAATATTTACTGGTGTAAACATTGGAAGCGTCTGGGAAACAAGCATGGCAGGCAAATAAATTTTGACGTAGACGAGGTTGGCATCCCTGTTCTACAATCACAGCTGATGAGTGTAGTGGAAGGGGAAAGGGCAGCATGGAAAAGTGATTGCGAGGGTCGAGCGCGCACGTCTCTGTATCACCAACAACTCTTATCTATTAACTTCGACCTAAAAGACAAGACATACCTCGCTGACAGATATGACATAACTGTGATGTCCTGGGCGATCAAGGCAAGAGCTGAGCTTATCAACCTCAACTTCAAACCGTGGCTTGTAGACAATTATCATTTGTGTACTCTTTGTAATTTACAAGAGAAAGAAGATGTTTTTCATTTTTTATCTGTTTGACCCATTTTGAAGTCAATAAGGAAATTTCATTTTGGCTGTCCAATTTTGACACAGGAACAATATATAGAGATATTGAATGGGTGGGATTGGCGGGTCTTAAGCAATTATTTAAAAGATGCTTGGTCTAAAAGATGGGGGTTAATTCAAGAATTCAATCTGTGAGAATCATTTTCCCAAATGTCATTACTTTTAAAATCTTTTTTATTATTATTTATTAGTTTCATTAAATTGTTATTATTAATCAGTTTTGTACAAGTGCTAACCAGGTACGCCAGCCGCAACAGACGGGCTTTTTGTCCATAGTTGTATTTAGTGCTAAGAAGTTATTTTTTGTTCACTTATTTGTAAATAAAAGCACTTTTTCATTTCATTTCATATATTGAACTGTTAAGTACATTGTGAATACGGGATTATCATTAGTTACGTAATATTTGAGTTGACTCTTTTATTTAAACTTATCGGAATTAATGACTTATATTTGTTTATAAATAAGTTATTTGTTTTTAAATAACTCCTTTACTTCTTTGCGATTGCTCGATTTCGAGCAACATGTACACTAGTTAATAATAAGTATCAGTTTTGTTGGGTTACTTATTCAGCTAGTTGTGGTTTGGACGAGTCCAAGTTATAGTGGTGACTAATACTGAAAGGGGTGGAAGGTTTGGGAAGCGGAAACAGCTGTCACTTGTTTACATTCGACTCTAAACAGACAAAACCACACACGACGCCATGAGAGCAAAATCAGAGTTACAATATGCAATAAGTTTAACTTGATTTTTAAAAGAAAATGGACTTTGAAGCTGTTTAGAAAATACAATAAATCAACTACGATACATAAACTATTAGTCACAAAAAACATAAATGATAAAAATAATTTATTCACGTAAAATATCAGTAATAGAAGCTAGGCCAAAACTGCCTTATAATAAGTGCTTAGCGCAGAGGTTATTTCCTCACAAGCTCTCCTGTGTTAGAGATGACTGTTTTAGTTATGTCTGTTAGTGAAGTATATGACTATTTGGTGTTTCCGTTTTATATTAGACTGATGCTACTATGGATTTATTAGAAGAGGAGAAATTATGAGGAGTACTTGATAGTGTCAAAAGGGTTGAAAGAATAAAAGAAATACAACCAAAAAGAGATTTTGATTAGGTTGTTGTATTAATTAGTCAAAGGTATTAGGTAGGCCTACTCATTTAGTTGAGACTTCATTTTATATGAGTACTTTAATTTAAATAATAGGCCTACATATAATTTTTGTTACAGTAATGTGTAGTATTAATTGTTTAGTAAATATAACCAAACTTGGCGATTGGTATTTTATTATTAATTTATAATATTAATATAATAACTTAATAATAACTGGGACGGTGGCATCTTGGGTGGCATCGTCCTGTAATCCAGCTACTAGGAGGTCACGAATTGTGGATATTTATAGAGATGCACTGTAGGTACGATACTCCCTGGTGTGGATTAACTGTGTATAATTGTGTAGTTTTAATTAAGTAATGCTCTCTTTTCAGGAAAAATCTGTGTTGCATCAGATAAAATAACTATTCTCAATTATCTTGGACGAGGATTGTTTGTTCACTACTCTGGCTGCTGAAGCCCGGATACTAGCAGCAATGAACAATTCACCAACACAATGTGAGTGTTTCCTTAGCGTTGTTCCATGTTTCTCCTGTGACAATGTTCATTGGTTAATGTCTTGATGTTTCATTCGTAGGCCCCTTGTTAATTTTTCAGTGATGTATGGTTTTTGTGAAACAAAATTAATCCTTTTAAATCAATTTTCTATGGTTGTTTGTTTTAGTTTTTATTTTATGATGGTACACCATCATTAGAGTGGAAACATCTACTGATCTGGATGGAATAAGAATTAAAAAATAAACTTTTTTATAACTTCTGCGATGTGAGTTTTCCAGATTAATTTAATTGTCTCAAGTTATTCCTAAAAATGTGGTCCAGTCAGAAAAACTGCATGGTAGAGTGGCATTGTAACATGAAACACTGTTATCGAGGGAATTTTTTTGAAGGTTGATTAACAGTGACTGATTCATTAAAAGCCTATTTAGTTTGGTTTAAATCAAAAAGAGCAAGGGCCCAAAATAGACCCTTAAGGAACACCATCTGTGATGAATCCATTATCAGACTTGTTAATGGATTAAGCCACGGTGACTGCAACCTTATACACTATTTTCTGTTAGTCCTAGATATAAATGAAACCAACAATTTAATAGTCCTGCCAAATGTAGCCTCACTAGCTTTTGAATCATATTTCCCATAAACAATTTTGTATGTTTTTGCAGGGACCTAAAAAATAGTAAAGGACATATTATAAATGGAACATCAATCTGTGTTGACTACTGGGTGTCGTCACCAGAAAAGGTAAGCTTAAGTTGGTTTACAAATAAGTTTAAAAAAGTTAGTTTGTTAAACTTGTATAATGCATATATCCTGTTTTTGGCTTTTATGGACTGTGATTTAATCAATTAAACCAGAATTTTAAGTTTTTTCCTTATATCGATTATTGAGATGGATACCCTATGTGCGTTTTCAAACCAAATATGAGCAAAGGATGAGTGTAGAATATTGTGATCTCTGTAGCTTTGTTATACTGGCTATGATCAGCTGTTTCATTAGTCATGATTATTTATTTAAAGCTCGACATAATCAGGAACAGCTGGGTCTAATTTCAAATCATCAAAAAGCTGCTGACTTTTGTCAGGATTGATCCTGCAAGCTTTTGATTGTGAGGCAAGCGCTATAACCACTCAGCTGCCCAGCCAGTCTGAGAGAAGACTACCTATATTTATTAAGCTAGGCTTTATTTAGATATATTATCACTCTTGTAAATCATTACTCTTTTACTGTAAACTAAGCATGGCTTTATTTTCAATTTTTAATTATTTTAGAAGTCTAGACTCCATTTTCCAGTTAGGGGTTTGTAATTCCTTTGTTTGCTGAAGTTTTTATGATTCTATTGAAAAAGATTCTCACACCGTTTCAGTAATTTTTGTTGTTGTTAATTTGAATAAACTGATACGCTTAGTAATTTGAGCTTATCTTGTTTATATTTAAAATAATGTTTTCTGTTTAAAATGCCAGACTTTGTATAGTAAGATGAAATCTTATAAAGTTTTGATTATGATACGGTATAATCATAAAGCCGAGGCCGTTTTTTAAGATCTTTGAAACAGAAATAGGTTGGGAGGATTGGAAATGTTATCTGTAGAAAATATTTTCAAAATTTTTGTAAAAAAACTTTTGTGAGACTATTTATACAAAATACTATTATTTCTAGAAATTCGACCACTTCCTGACTCATCTACACACTGATAACACAGTCAGATTGAACTCAAATTTTCAAGGAAAAATCTACTCGTCGCCCTTCAATTGTTGGCTTCTTCAAAAATGGTTCAAAGTAAGTATTCGTTATCCCACTTCAAATCAACTTATTTTAACAAGTTTTACTTTGCTTCCTAAAGACAGTGTTTTTGGATTGCCTACAGTTGAGAGAGAGAAATTCTTAATTTATCTATCTATATATTATTAGGCAAGCATGTTTCTTTAAAACCTTTTTTCTCAGCTCGTGTGCATCGTAGGGAAAATCTACGCATACCGTTGGAAAGCTATTTTCCTGTAGGTGTGCAGAATCCCTTTATAAATTTAAATAGGCTCAAAGATAAGCACAAAAAATGAGTTTAAAAATTTGAAAAAATTAACATGGATCTTATGCGTTGCTATGCTGGTTACGAAATAACAACGAAATATAAACAGAAAATCAAAACAAATGGAAGAAACTCCAATCACATGTTTTATTTACAGTGTGGGGTGAAAATAGATAAGTGAGTACATTACATATTTTTGGTCGAGTTTCGACCACTGGACGACCTCTCGTACACATTATTTTGCAGCAATACATTAAAAAATAAAATTATCACATGGGCCACCATGACCTGTGCGTGATAGAGAAATCTCAGTAATCCGATACTTATACAAAAATAATGTCTGGTCTGAAACTCCAATGAAGATTAATCAAATTTTAGTACTGTATATACTGCATCTCATTCGTTAAAGCACCAGTATACACAAAATGCACGTAATGAGCTTTATTCGCTTGACATTTTCACTGAACAACGGGTGCATTAATTTAGTCTTGGGTGTTTCCAGATCAAGCCAGAACAGCTCGAGGCACTGAGTGTCGGAGACACACACTTGGTGACCAACAGAGAAAACTATAGTTTCTACTCCGTCACCCTGCTTGAAGCCAACCACTGCCCAGGCTCCGTCATGTTCCTCTTCCAAGGTAAAAGTAGTGTCAGTGGAGTCACCTCAAAACTAATTCTCAATACTAGTGATGGTCAAAACCAGAAATTTTGAATCTCTAATCCAAAACCGAAACTTTAAAAAATCGAATCTCGAATTTAAAAACCTAAACGCAAAACCTTTTTACTTAGTTGGTTATAAGGTTAAGGTTACAAAAAATACAGGTAATAATAAAATGTTAAGTATGAAATCAAAACTGAACCAGTTTGACTCCCGACACTGACGTAATAACATAATGTGACTGATAAACCCATACCAACATAATTTTTTCTGAAATTAAAATAATTGTAACTCCTGACAACAACATAAACATGAATATTAGACTAATTAAAACATTTAGTGTCTATTAAAATAAAATTGTTTACAAGAATCCTCTTTGCCAGCAAGAGAGTCAACCCTAGTGTCACTTTGTCATAATTTAGGTGGGGATGGGTGGAGTGACAGTGTGCACAGCTATGGATTTCACTATAGTTGTACCAACTATAGTAGTGGTGGTATTTATTCCGCACAAAATTAGTTCTTATAATTCAGTGGACTCTTGAGGATTGTTCAGTCTTCCCCAGTCATCAAAATTCAAGTAGGCTACTTTTGGTTCTTCAGGTTGGCTGAACATCCTGATTTTAGCTGCATTTGTTGGAATTTAGACCTTAAAACTTTGTTAAGTTAACACCTAACTTGGAGAAATGTTTCTAGGCACATTTGGAAACATTTTATACACCGGACACTTTCGTTATAGTCCTACGATACTTGATCATCCGATGCTGAAATCGCTAATTGAAAATGAAGTGAGTACCTAGTCTGTTAGTATTCTAATTAAACTTTTAAATTAAAACTTTAAGAATTATTTCAATGTTAGTTTTCATCAAGCATAAATATTGATCAGTGTTATTTGTTGTTCTTATTGGTAAAACATCTTTATAATGTAAATTTTTTAGGTGATTTAAAAAGATTTAAGAGAACTTTTATGATACTTTGTTTAGAACCTTTGATTTGAAAAGTTGGTGTCAAAAAAGAAACTGTCAAAAAAATGTAGTCTCTAATAACTTGTCTCTCTTTAAAATATCTTGAAAGTAAATTAAGTATTTTATGCACTTATTTTCACTCATAATTGTTCTTCCTTTGTTATTCAAGACAACATAATAATTTTAAATATTTGTAACATCATGTTAGATTTTAAGAAAAGAAGGACCCGGGTATATTTAAAAAAACAACTCACTCATTTTTGAAGAAATGGGAAACCGTTCAGTCGCACTTGCTTTTATCATTCTTTTATGCTAAATAATGCAATGTATGCTAACTTATGCTTGCATATTGTATGCAAACTTAGCTGAGTGGTTATGCTACTTCATCAATCAGATCCGTTTTGAATATGAGAAAAGTCTATAGTTTTAATCCGTACCTACCTGTCATTAATCATTTAGCATAAATGCTATTGATAAAAAACAGCTGATCCTAGTCAGTAAAAAAACTACTTAAGACATCTTACTCGTCCCGCTTTCATCTGCTGTTCAAGTTTGGAACGAAATAAGGCTAAGTGGCTTTCTCCATAATAGTCAAATAGTATTTTTATTTCTTAGTTCAGTCAAATCTGTACTGTAGTTTTTTACGTGAAAGCTTACTATTACCATGTTTTTCGTTTAATCTTTTTAACAGGCAGTGGACATGCTTTACTTAGACAACACGTATGCTGCTGAAAACTGTGAGTTTCCATCACGCCAAGAAGCATTGAAGGATTTAATCAAGCTCATAAAGTAAGTTTTTATTTTTATGTAAAACAATCCTAGTAATTATAGTGGATATGGTACTCTCCTGGTAATCAGTAAATAAGACGAGACAATGAGTAAGACAACTACCTGTCAAGAAAATTAATATAATGTGATGATTGTACATGGATGAATAAATAAAGGTTCCCGTTTCAGTTTTATGGTTTAAATATGACCTGTCTAAACCTAGATCATTCTAGATTCTAGATCACTGTGTATCTGTTGCTTGAATTCAAGCAATTGCAAAGTATTACAGGCGTTATTTTAAAAACAATAACATTATGATAATTTCCGATGACTTTAGAAAAGTCGACTTGAAGATTATAGAAATACTCACGATGTAACATAACAGATCGATATAATCAACATTTCTTGTAAATACCTTATAATTTTTTAAAAGCTGACTGTGTTTTTTGTGTTTTTTACAAATATTTTCCATTATAGCCACATTAGGTTTTCCATAATAACCGTTAAAAATTCTAAAAAACTTATTTCTATCTCTTCTACTTGGTGGTGTTTTATGACTTTCCTATGTTTCCATAGTTTGAATTTTTCGATCGCAACATCTTTACAGAAAATTAAGAGCTTGGTTTGACCCAAACTATTTTCTATAAAATACCAAACATTTTGGTAAAAATCCAATCATCCAAATTTGTTGGCTATCTGAATGGCTATCAACGATCCTATTTTATTTGCACAGTTGAAGTTTGACTGTTCCCCTGGCAGATACACACCTTGTACTGTTTGTCCATTTGTTTTTCTTCAGTTATGTTTTGTGCAAATGTAACAGTTTGACAACTGAACCTTGACACACTCGCTTTGCTGGTCAATGTCTGAAACTGGACCCTTCCAGAGTTGGACCCCACATCTAAGTTCTGGAACAGCTGCACAAATACTCGTTATAGCTGGCAGTTGCGTTCCTGTTATTATACCATGCACAGATGGAATGGTGACCGTCACCTACTAGATGCTCCCCTACAACAGGCTAACTTGTCTTTAACCTGTGTGCTAAATTGTCATAGAGCTGTTTTTGTAGCATCCATGTTCATTGATTTTTTTACTTTTTCTATCAGTTTTCCTACTTTCCAGGGAACACCCGGATCACACTATTCTGCTGGGTTTGAGAACACTGGGAAAGGAAGAGGTGCTTCGAGCTTTAGCATTGGAGTTTAAGGTATCCATATGTATTTATATAACAAGAGATTGTTCTATTAACATTTCTAAAGCAACAAGCTGTTCAAAAAAAGTTTTGCTTTAACTTATAGAATAGAATTTTAGTCACCATAGTATATTATTTACCTGTCTCCAAGCAATGTTTATATTTCCCCGCCTTCAGTGTTCAGGTTGTATTCTTTGAAACCCTGACAATGTTGTTTGGTCGGTAGACCATTAGTTCACCCTCAAGGTAGACCATCAAAGGCAATCTGGCTATAGACATTTTGCTCTCCGGCTGTAGACAACCCCAAAGGTTGAGGGTTCGATTCCCAACTTGGTCATGCCTGGCGACCAAACCCAGGTGTCTGTGACAGAAATTGACTGGAGAGGCCCACCTAGAACATGCATATTGTTTCTTTTTAGTTTTCTTTACTAAGTGTGTTTGTCTACTAGACACTTGAATTATAATTACAGTAGAACTCCAATCCAAACATCCAAATCGCTTTCAGACACGATTTAAAAACTTAAAACCACAACAATAAGAATCGTCATTAAAGAAGGCAGAAGCCGTGATTGTGGAAAAATCCTAAACCTCTCTCGCGATTGTGTAGACATCATCGTCGTCTCCCTCGGTCATGGGAACATCCTTACCGTCTTCCGTGATCGCAATAAAATGTTGATTGTATCCCATGGTTGTGTTGACATGTTCATCTCAACTGGTCACAGGAACATCGACATAGTTTCTGCGATGGCGGCAAAATCTTTTTTTCATCTTCCGCGGTCTCGTAGACATCATGATCATCTCCTGCAGTCAAAGAAAATCATAATCTTACTCCGGGATCGTGGCAAAAGCGTGACTTTAGATCGTGACATCTTCATATACAAGTTCTCCAATCGCAATTCTGCAAGCTCGGCAAGACTCGACCTATATTCTTTAAAATACCCTCAATATTGGTAAAAATCCAACTATCCAAATTTTTGATTATCCGATTGGGGCCCAGTCCCAATTGATTCAGATAATTTGAGTCGTACTCTATTTTGATTCATTTTTTGTAAGGTAAGGAAATAATGTGAATAGTTAAATTAGGAATGGACAAGTCCCCAAATTTCAGGGGGAAAAAATCCATCAAGCTCAAATGGTTGTGTAACAAAGTATACTTGAAACAGTTACAGAATATATATTAGTGTAGTTATGAATAATATATAATTGTGTATTTTTAATATGAGAATCCTTACTTTTCAGGAAAAAATCTGTGTTAAATCAGATAAACTTACTATTCTAAAACATCTTGGCTACGAGGATTGTTTGTTCACTCCTTACCTTTCTAAAGCCCGGATACTAGTAGCTGAGATGGATGAAATAAATGAAAGATTCATCAACAAAGTGTGAGTTTTTCCTTAGTGTTGTTTCATGTTCCTCCTGTGAAAATGTTCATTGGTTGATGTCTTGATGTTTCATTCGTAGCCCCCTTGTTAATAGTTCAGCGATGGTGTATCTGTATGGTTTTGTGAAACAATCAATTTTCTATAGTTATAAGTTTTAGTTTTTTATTTACCTACTGGAAACTGGCCAAGGGTTTGGTATCAATAGTGTATAAATTGTGAGATTGGTCTGGATTCGGATATGGTATTGGATTTGAACATTTGTGGCTGGATAGTTTAAGTATTGGTTAGGGGTGTGCGAATAGTGATTTTCAACCTCGAGCCGAGCCGAGCCGAGCTTTTTCAAAAATTTTCGAGCTCGAGCTTTTTCGAGCCGAGCTTTTTCTAGCGTCACCTTTTCTAAATTATTAAACTTTTTTTCTTAAAAAAGTGCATAATAATAATGTTCAGTCAATTTTTAAATAAACACAATGTTATTTTAATATGTTTAAAAACATTGAGAATTGTCAAGACATCAAATAGTAGATAATCACGATAAGAACTGAACTGAACTAAATTAAGATACAAGAAATAAAAGGATAATTGAAGGCCTGACGAGATATGCAGTGCAGACCGAGACAATCAGATTGTCTTTCATAACAGAACAGCAACGCGACCTTGAATGACGACAAAACAACTTGCAAGACGATTACAGGGTGTCTACCAACCGGGAAATCCGGGAATTGTACTTAAATTTTTACTGGCCATGAAATGTGGGAATTGTCCTTAAATGCCAGACTATGTCCTTAAATTTTTAATGGGCCATAATTTTATTGATCGCTAGTTGGTTAGGAGCACATAAAAGGTTTATCAGATGTTTGTTTACATTTTCATAATTTATTACTAGAGTAATTATGCAATAAAAATCCCATTAACAATCTCAAACCCATTAATATTTTATCACGACAATCAAGTGTCAAGTCAAGTACTTCCAAGAACTGTTGACTCAGCAGCTAGCTCATAAAAGTTGTATCACTTTTATTCCTTTACAACTTCTTTTTTTATTACTAGGATAATTATTATTAGATCCCAAACCTATTTTATCGTGAAAATAATAGCTTTATAATGGCTGTTAAATTTCGCTTCTTACTTGCACTTTCGGCTTGAAGATTCAATATGCCGCGGCCAGTGCCTAGTGCCATAAAACTGTTTATGGTTTCATATTAAACATGTAAATAATCTACAGTCTTATTTTGTAATTTAAACCCTTTTTTATGGACATTTTATCTTTCAATTGACAAAACCACAAGCATTGTTGTTTGCATTAATGTTTTATCACTATGTAGGCCTGCTTGGTTTCAAATTATGTCATTGGATTTTCTGTATCTTTGTCTTATATTGTTGGCTATTCAGGTTTCAATGTTTTTTGTTTCCCATATATTTATTTATTGAGTTGTATGCCTTAAGCAATCAAAATCGTATGAACTAGAATAATGATAGTGATTTTGCTGCTATTATAACCTCATTGTTTGTTACTCAGTTTATATAGGCCCTCCTAAATAATTAGGTTTAGGCCTGGGTATTTTGATTCTTGAAAGAGCTGTAAAATATATTAAGAAAATGTAATTGAGCCTAAGATAAACTAATGATTGCTATGTGTCGATATTAACTTTGCAAATGAAAATACAATAATCTTATCTGTGCTTATTGCTTATTAATAGCCGCTTACCATACCTTGATTTTGTACTAAGAATTGAGTAACAATATGCATTAAAGATTTTTTTTCAAAAGTAATCAAGAACTTAACGTTGTGCCAGGGCGAATCATGCCAAATTAATCAGCCTGGATCGGATAAGCTATGTTATGAAGTTTACGTGACGGATGGAGATATTTGTCGCTATCGCAGGAGACAATGATTGCGTTTCTCTGTTACACTATAAAAGCTTTACCTAAAGTATAGGTAGGCCTATGTTTGTTTACTTTCAATAAATTTCTATTTTGTAATTGTTAACTCTTATCTATTATTATTTACTTTTTTCTGGTACAACTACAGTGAATAACAAGATTAATACAGTTTGACAAATCAGGAAAATTATTCGGTAGGCCTAATGACACCGACAAAGGTTACGGCAAAGTGTCCTTAAATGTACGGGAATTGTCCATGAATTTTTTATCCAGAATGTAGTAGACACCCTGGATTACATTATTATGTATATTGTAACTACTACTATGAATATTTAATTCTATTTTGTATAAATAAATACAAAATAAATTTAAAAACACGTGATTATTCTTGTTGTTTTCCATGCACAAAATATTTTAGTTTTATCAATCGTATTAATCAAAAAAGAACATAGGTAGTTGGTTTGGATCCAAAAAGGTGGAGAGACAAGTAAAAAGTAAACTTATATATTAAAAAATATATAATTGACATATGGAGGAAATAGACCTAAACACTAAAATTAATAGAATAACACACAAAGTAAAGAAGAAATGAAACAAAGACACTATGAATCAACACTGTCACTCAATTTTGTTATCTAGAAGGGTCGGCAACTAATCAATAAATAGCCAAAACCAGTTTCCTCCCCTTCTTGCAGTCTCACCACCACCCCTCCCCCCTAAACCGGGAGGCCCAACACTTTGTCCTTGAAACACCCTAGCCTCTGAAACAATAAGTTAAACCCTTACACCCGCGTGACAACAGGTTTATGAATGCGTTCACTATTTTTCATTTTCCAGAATTAACTATCAATTATTACTATTTGCAAGTTACAAATAGGAAACTACATCACATTATGGTATTCAATGACCCATGTATTATTATCAAAAATTAATAATTCATTACTTATTTTGATAATAAAAAGCATTCACTACAGCACGCACCACTTATTGATACATATAATCATCAAGGTAACTGTTACTTTATACAAAATAAAAAAAGTTACAAAATTGTGTGGCCAGTCAAACTTTATAAACAAACATTTTATTCTATAAAATACATATGGTAAATATGGGTTGGTTTAAAGGAAATAAAATACAAAACAGATAATTAATTATTTTGATAAACATTAGAAAGGTTATAGGATTGATTGAACTAAAATAACTGCAGGGAAACTTATAAGTAGAAAAGTTTTCAACCACAATCTGTTTAATCAGTACATTGTTAGAGCGAGAGAGAGAGAGATAGCAGATAGGGGCGTTTGATAAGGAATCTGAAAAAGTAAACAAACAAGGAACAAAGACACGACGATACTCGTTTACAGCCTTATTGTGTCGCCGACTACATTTGCACACGTGACCACTTTTTGTTTCTTCCTTATCTTTCATCCGTCCCAAAATAGAATTCCTGAAATTGTTTGTAGGTATAATCTCCCCTCCCACACAAGGCGCAGTGCTCAGTGCGCACTGTAGGTTGTCACGGCAACCGTGTGTCGTCATAGGGACAAGCCAATCACGCACTTGCACTGCGTTGTATATTACGATACGAATAGCTGTTAGAAAGACAACGCGATAGGTGGTCGTTTGTCTCTTTCCTATCTCCTCAAAATTACTATCGATAATCATTGCGTCTTGACTGAGCTGAGGTTTGTGCTAATCATAAACCTCGAATGCATGAACAACGTAGAATTGTGATAACATTGTTTTCAATTATGACCCAAATTAACTGTTTTGACTTAGTATTAAAAGCTCGGCTCGAACTTCGAGCTTTTTCAAAATATCTCGAGCTGAGCCGAATAATGAAAAGCTCGACCAAAAAGCTCGAGGATTCGAGTATTCGCACACCCCTAGTATTGGTGGAAGTTAGAATTGTGCTAAATTTTTGATGATCTATGAACACGTAGGCCTATAGACATGTACACATTTGCTTATACATGTATATTAACAGTGAGATGGTTTTTTTTTATTCCATACCATAATTTGGAATGTAAATGAGACCAAGTACATTATTGTCAAATAACAAGAATCAAATACACAAGACATTCATAAGTAAACGGTATCATCAAACTGACACATACTTTCTCCCATGAAACATTGAAACTTATCATCCTACTTTTATGATCAATAATTTAAAACAATTAGGCTATGCTGGGTAACCAGATGGAGTAACTTATGGTTTTTGTTTTCATGATAAAATTAGAAACAAATTCCAATAAGTTTTGAATTGTAATTGTTATAACGGTTGGGGTTGTGCAATTATTTGCAGAGTTAAAAGAACGGAGTATTACAGACTGTATTTTAATCCAATTCGTTAGAGCTGTCCAGCAAAGAACAAAAAGAAAAAAACCTGGATATACCTTACATAAGTACCCTAATATTAAATTTCATCTCAATTTTTCCATACAAAGTAGGTATTTTAAGCCAAGTACGAATGGAGATGACTGTATGATGAGTGGCCCGATCTTGTGAGCCACAGGTGAGGTAGGTAGGCATCTTAGTACAAATCCACACACTCTTAAACACACACACAGCTATCACTTTGAAAACCAACACCAGTACCCAAGGCAGAAAGTTTTGACAAAAACAATACATTCTTCATAGACTAAAACTATACAGAAAGAGAGTAAACACAACCATCGTTTCTGGTGTAAATGAAAATCTTTTTACTATCTGTTTCAGACGAGCCAGCAAAGGTCCCGTGATAGCCATTGTACTGACTGCTCTCTATAATAAAAGACCTCCACATACCAACACAGATACAGACATCAATAACGGAATTTACAAAATCCCCTACAGTGATCATAGTTGCCACTCCGAGATTGTGAAATTTGTTTCTGAAATTAAACCTAAGCAAATAATGCCAGTGGTAAGAATCAGTGAAAAATCAAAACTGTACCATTGTAATGTTATACCGGAAAGCATTTTAAAATTTTGCAGAGACTCTGAAACTGTTGAAGAAATCAGTCAAACTTTATTCAAACCAGGTACTAGCGTTGGGGCTGCGAGTAGTCTAGAGAACAATGTCATTAGTTATATGACAAAAGGTTCAGTGGCTAGTTTTAAAACTGGGGGTTTCAAGACTAAAACTGCTCCAGCTTTAAAAGTAAAAGAGTGCAATAGGCAAAAGCTAAATGTTGAAAGAAAAGCTAAGGGTGATCCTGAATTGATCTCAAGAAGAAATTGTTCTCCTAGAGTGTCTTTTAAAGAACATAATCAAGATGTCCGAGTTTCACAAAAAGTTAACGGGTCACCCTTTAGATCGGCTTTGTCTAACCAGTTTTCAAATCAAGAGTACTTAACTTTGTCTGACGAAGAACTGTCAGAGAAACAACAGGATGTTCCAAACAAGTCAAGTGAACAAGCTACCAGTGACGTCGAAGTGAATGCAGTTCAAAAAGGTTCCAACCGTAAATATCTAGAGAGTAATGCATCTTGTACATCAGCTGATTGTGATGACTCTCCAAACAACCAGACTGTTATTCCAAATAAAAATCTGATTGTACCATGTATACCGCTGTTAAGTGATACAAGCCAGTTTATTTCAAAACATTCTGTAAAACCAATGTCGAAACGCAATGCTGCATCCGTCGAGGAACTATCTTTGCGAATGATGAGAAAACATGTGTTGAAGGAAAAGACTGTTCATAAGGTGACAGACCGAAGAATGTTTCAGACTAATGATAAGGCGTCTAAAATTAAAGAACATAATCAAGATGTCCGAGTTTCACAAAAAGTAAACGAATCACCCTTTAGATCGGCTTTGTCTACCCAGTTTTCAAGTCAAGAGTACTTTACTTTGTCTGACGAAGAACTGTCAGAGAAACAACAGGATGTTCCAAACAAGTCAAGTGAACAAGCTACCAGTGACGTTGAAGTGAATGCAGTTCAAAAAGGTTCCAACCGTAAATATCTAGAGAGTAATGCATCTTGTACATCAGCTGATTGTGATGACTCTCCAAACAACCAGACTGTTATTCCAAATAAAAATCTGATTGTACCATGTATACCGCTGTTAAGTGATACAAGCCAGTTTATTTCAAAACATTCTGTAAAACCAATGTCGAAACGCAATGCTGCATCCGTCGAGGAAGTAGATCAAGGTGTTAGGTCTGAACCAATTGTTTTGCGAATAATGAGAAAAGATGTGTTGAAGGAAAAGACTGTTCATAAGGTAACAGACCGAAGAATGTTTCAGACTAATGATAAGGCGTCTAAAGAAAGTAATAATAGCAGTGATGACCACCGAAATGTTTGTGGTAAATTTTTCATGGCAAGTCGTGTAATATCACCAGAAAAATATCCTCTGGTGTCTTACCCACAGTTACAAAAATATTTGACGTATGCCAGACAAAATAGTATACCAGTTGGTTTAGAGCGTTCCAGTGTTATGAAACAACTACTAAACAAGGGGCGAGTTGAAAATGGGGAATTGGTTCCAGAAGCAGAAAATGGGTCCAATTACTATGAGAAAGTGAGAGATTTTGTTTGGAGAAGCCAGTTTCATTCTAAAATTTATAATGAGCTTGAAGATTTACCTTATCAAAAAACACATTTAAATCATGATCAAGAGAAAGCTAAAACCTCAATTTTAAATATAATTTTTCATTCAAACCAGACAACTTGTACTCCTGCTCAAGTAACTGAACAAAATGTGGTAAGTGTACAAGAAGAGGACGATAGTGATGGATCATTGATAGAAGTATTGGACAAATTACACAGGGAAAATAACGGCAACACTCGTTCTAAAAAAAGAAAAAGAACATAATCCCAAGATAATTCTTAAACAAGTTCCCGAAGCTAAGAGTTAAATTAGGTATAACACGGAATGAATATTCATTTTAATCCAAAATCAAATGTAAAAGTATACAATAATTTAGTGAATCTCAATGATAACAAAAATGAAAAACATGATAGATAAAATTACTCTGAGAGGAATCATATTTGGTATTCTTTAAGAATTTTGATTCAATGTACGAGGGCCGTTCAGAAAGTAGCCTCCGTTTTTCTATAAATAAAACACAGAAGTAGAACCATATTTTTATTTCATACATCTTAAAACTACATATTTCCTCTACTTTTCAACATAGTTTGCTTGGACATTTTAAACACTTAACATAGCTATGGACCAACTTTAAAATTCCCTCTTTAAAAAAAAATCAACCGCCAGTGCCTTGAGTCATACCGTCACTCCATCTTTCAGTTACAAACTAAGGTTATTTCCCGAACTGCCCTCGTATAAAATTTGGAAGCAGAAGGCAAGGAAGTTGAACATATTCTAATGAAATTGCCTATAGAAAACAGTTGACAAACTGGTTTCAATATAAGGTTTAGGAAAATCATGCTGAGAGTTAAGGCTGAGGAAGTTGATATCTCTAGACTTTCGGTTTTGTTGGTTATATTGTTATGCTTGTAAATAACAACCCCTCCTTTAGTCCTTTGATATGTTCTTTCCTTCCATATGCACTGATAAGTATGTAGTCAGCCAATTTAGAATGGTGTATTGCATTACTTTTTAGTCCATGTTCTGTAAGAATTACAAAGTCCAAATAGTGCTGTGTAGAAGGTGTTCCAGTCTTTCAGTTTTGTTTGTCATCCTGTCCATGTTTTGGAGAAAGAAGGAAAGTTGATTTGTATTTTTACTTATTGATTTTATTTGAACTTGCTTTCTTCTTTGTAGTTTAGCCTGTTTGCTGTGTGTATCGAGTTTGTGTGCTTAGCTGTCTTTCCTTCTCTAGTTGGAGTTCTACTTCATTTAGTGTTTCAACCAGTGAAGCATTTCGGGAGAGCAAGATTTCATTGTCATTTTCAAGCTCTTCAATTTTTGCCTCAGCAAGGTTATCGTCTCTGAAGTCTTGGCATTTTAAGGAATAAAATTTTTGCTTTATATCATGTAGTTCTTGCTTTAATTTATTATTTTCTAACAGTAAAGCATGTCCAGCTTCCTCAGCAAGTGTGAGCGATGTCTCTAGATCATCAGGATTTTGTTCTTGTTCTTGTAAATCTTGTACTTTATTTAGGACATCTCTGAGCTGCTGATTTCCTATTGGAAGGACATTTCTGTCTACTGTTGTGTTTCTGTCAGGGTTCAAGCAATTTGTGTTTGAGAATAACTCAATAACTCAATAACTCATTTATTTAGCAAGATTAACATTACAAATGCATTAGCCAAGTCAAATTTACTAAAAATAACTATTAACTAACTTTTAAAATTATTAAAATTAAAATTCATTAGGACTGTCCGTCAGCGAGAAAGGCGCGGACACTGTAGTAGCCTTTACCCACGAGAAATGACCTCAAGTGCCTTTTGAAGCATCCCGGATCTGATGTGGACTTGATTTGAAGTGGGAGAGCATTGAACAGTTTGATGGCATTATAGTTTAGATGTCTTTCAAAGAATGTGGTTGAATGGGCTGGAATTCTCAGATTGAAAGTATTGCGAAGCAGATACGAGTGGGTGGATGTGGTGTGGAAATGAGAATAATTTGACTTCAGAAAAGTGAGGACTTCTAGAATGTAAATACAGGGAAAAGTTAGAATTGCGGATGATTTAAATACAGCTCTACAAGTTTGTTTGTAGGGAAGGCCGTGAATTATTCTGATAGCTCTCCTTTGAAGGCGAAAAGGAAATGGGTTCTTGTGCTTTCACCTCCCCATAGTGCAACTGCATATATCATGTGTGGATAAAGTACACCGTAGTAAGCAGTAAGAAGTACATCTTTGTTTGAAAATTTTGCTAGTTGGCGCAGAAGAAAAATTCCTGAACTGATCTTTCTACAGACAGAATCAATGTGGGGTTTGAAACACAAGTTCTCGTCCAACAACAAACCCAGGAATTTTACTTGAGCAGTGGTTTCAGTTTCAGTGTCGTCCAAAATAAAATTTTGTTTGTTTTTGGTTTTCCTAATTGAGAATTCAACGAGCTGAGTTTTTGTTGAATTGATTTTGAGGAGATTTTCGTCGAACCACTGCAACAAGCAACTGGCTTGTATAAAGGCACACATGTCTAGTTCGAGTCGGTTTGGGCTGGAGACAGCGAGAGAGGTGTCATCAGCAAAAAGACATATTTCACCCTTTTGAACAACTGATGGGAGGTCGTTAATAAAGAGGAGGAACAGTACCGGACCAAGAACCGACCCCTGAGGCACTCCACTGACGATCGTGCCAGTAGAGGATCTGTGAGGGCGTAGACACCCAGTGCTATCCACTGCTTTCACCTCCACATATTGACTTCGGTTGGCAAGGTAAGACGAGATCCATTGTAGTGACAGCCCTCTAATTCCATAAGAGTGTAACTTCTGCTTGAGAAGGTCATGATCCACTGTGTCGAATGCTTTGGTCAGGTCGAAGAAAAATCCCAAAGCTTTCTCACCTCTATCCAGTGCACTGACCACAGTCGATACAAGGTGATAAATTGCGTCTGTTGTCGACCTGTTTTTTACGAACCCAAACTGTTTACTGGTGAGTATGTTATTTTTATGTAGAAATTCCAGCAATCTTTTTAGGAATAATCTTTCAAAAAGTTTGGAAAACGTTGACACAATTGATATTGGCCTGTAGTTATTGCACAGACGATCATCCCCCTTTTTATATATAGGCTTAACAACAGAGAGCTTTAGAGTATCAGGAAACTGACCAGAAATAAAAGACGAATTAATTAAATGAGTTAGAGGTGTCAAGATTACATCACCTATTTCTTTTAATAGCCTTGGGGATATTTCATCTGTGCCGGCTGAACTCTTATTTTTCATCAACCTTATCTCAGTTGCAACTTCTTTTTCAGTTGTTGGGCAAAGGAAGAGGGAATTTGACACATGCCCTGTACAGCTGTTAGTACCCTTTTTATTTGACTGGCTGCCAATCTCAACAAAGAAATTATTAAATCGATCAGCTACTAATTGTGGATCTGTGATTAAATAACCTTTCTCATCGAGGAGGTGGGGTTCCTTAAATTGTTTGTTTGTTCCATTTTTATTTTCATTAATTGTATCCCATATAGCCTTGCTTTTATTTTCTGCCTGGTTTATTTTACATAAATACAGTTCAGATTTCTTTTGCCTCACAAGTTTTCTAAAATTTGATTTTATTCTTAAATAATATTGTCTCATGTAATGTTCGGAGGGAAGATCTTTTGTTCTGTTGTATAGGTCAATCATTTCTGTCCTTTTTTGGCACATTTCTTTGTCTAAAACTACACGACCTGTGTTTTTCCTTTCTTTTACTTTCTTTCTTTTCAATGGAAATGCTATTTCAAATGTGTGGCGTAACTGGCTTTCAAAATTGGAAAATTTGTCATTCATTGTTGTTGCGTTGTACACTGATATCCAGTTCTGTTGCTTAAGTAATAGCTTAAAGTATTGCTTTGTATTATTATTAAATTCTCTGGAAAATTTATATTTTATTAGATTATCTCTGTCATTCAGTGAACAGTTTATGGAAGCTAACTGGGCGTGGTGGTCTGAGAGGGCTGTCACAAGAACTTCACTTTTAATTCTTTTATTATCTATGTCAGTAAATATATGATCTATCAAGGATCTAGAACATTTGAACTCCCTTGTATATGAACTTATCGTGTTTCTGAGTCCAAAAGATCTCATAATGGTTGTCAGCTTATCTGCTACGAAGGAAGTTTTAGACAGATCAATATTTAAATCACCAACAACAAAGATTTTTTGGTTGAAATTTACAAGCTTATCAAGGCATCCAGTCATGTTCTCAAAAAATAAATCGTGTTTATTAGTCGGGGGTCTATATACAGCAATGACGAGTATGATTTCATTTTCTAAATACAGTTTTGAAGCAGCTAATTCGCACTCACCTTCCACACAAAACTCAGACACATCTACTTTTGTGCTCCTTAAAAAATTACTTACAAAAATACCGACACCACCTCTCTGCATTGATGATCGGCAGAAAGCAGCCACATTTGTATAACCATTGAGCATAATCGTCTCAAACTCCGTGTCTCTCAGATTGTGTTCAGACAGACATATCACGTCAGGCAATTCATCTTGCAGGAACACATCAAACAGTTCTATTTTGTCTGAGAGACCTCTTATATTTTGGTGAAGCAGTTTCAGACAGTCCGAATGCACCTCGCCCACACCTGCGCCGGGCTCATCCAAGGTACGCGGTACTGCCTCCGGGCTAGCCCCAAAAAATCTGAATTGACAAAAACCCGACCACCCCCCTCCCTAAAATCTGTTCGATCAGAGCAAGTGTTCGAATGGCCTCTGTAAGAGGAGGAAAGTGCTTGGGTAGGATTCTTAGGATGTCCCTGAGGAGGGGAACCTATGTTCTGAGATAGGGATTTCTTTGGATGGGTTATTAGATTCCCTAAAGCAATCGCAAAACGATGCTTTCCCCTGGCATTCAAATGCAAACCATGCCTAGTGTAGCACAGTCTGTCGAGATTTGAAGGTGATAAAAACAGCCCATTGTGGAAGGTTTCGACAAGGGATTTGATTTGTTGGTTGGTTGTCGAGATGATTGGGTTTAGTGGAGGTTGGTCGTGGCGCAAAGGCAATCCCACGACAACGATGTTGGTGTGCTGCGCGGCCCTCATCACAGTCTCCAGCTCAACGACTAGGCTACCACAATGTCCGTTAACAAAGTCGTTTGTACCACCTACTATAACTAGAAAATCATCTTTAGACATGCTAGGCAAGACGGTTGGTACACCCTCGACAACTCTCTTAATATTAGCACCAGGTTTCACACTACAGCTAACATTGAAGGCATCCCTAATAGAGTCATTTTTTAACATGCAGTCTTTTATACCACGACCATGACTATCTGCAAACACTCTAATGTTGTGCTTAGGAGGTTTTGACAAAAGTTCATTTTGTATTTTAACAGTTTCGCCAATATTAGTGCTACATTTATAATTTTTATTTTCATTTCTCCTACTTACCTGCACAGCAGGCTTAGCTAATGATTTGGATTTGTTTTTGGATTTATTTGGGCTACTACTATTTAGAGGGGATACTCTTGGTTGGATAATAGTAGTAGGAAGAGCAGTGTTGGAAAGGTGTCTTGAAAGAGGAGCAAAGCTATTTTTGCAGATTATCTGCTGAGTTTCCTCCGAAGCAGTCCTAACCTTAGAACCCTTAGATTTTGGGCCAACAACTTTCCAAACACCTACTGAACCTATTATTAACTTAATTGGCGTGCATGCCGAAGCATTTTCATCGCTGACGGACTTACATGGTAATACATTTGGAGGGTCATGATTATTACTAATATTTACATTTATTGATTTAGCCTGGCTTACACTTTCACCTTGCATAACCAATTCAAACCAATCAGCAATAGACAAGTTTTGCTTATTTTCAATGCGACAATAAAAAGTCTGAATCATTTTTGAATTTATCAGGACATTTAAGCCGCACTCAAAGTCGTTTTTCTGTTGTGGACAAGGAACTTGGACAAAGGAGTCATCAATGAAACCAAGATTACGTGCCACAGTTTTAGCGGCAACGTCGTTTACCACACCAGCTGAGTCAAAATGATATGTTTTGAGCCGCTTATTATCAAATACTAAAAGGCTCCAATGGGACCCTCTGTCAGAGACATTCGGATCACTACAGTCACTAATACAGCAGAAAACAAAGTCATGTTTATCAAAAGAAACACCATTTCTAGTATTACTTATGTCTAGAGAACTACCATGTCTAAAAACTAGAGTGACAGAGGGGCCTATATACAGACAGGAGTTTTCTGAACACTGTTTTGAATTGAGGCCTTTAAAATAAGACTCAATGGTACTGTCATCCAGCCACCTACTTTTCGACCAGTTATCAGATTTTGATGAATTAAGCTCAATTTTTAATTGGTGGACAGATTGTTCAAGAAGAGTAATTTTACTTTCACATTTTTTTAGTACACTGTTTAGGCTGTTTATTTCATTATTTCCACTTACAATATTTTGCTCTAAACACTCCTTCTCTACCAACAAAGTTTTAATTGTACCTTGAGCCTTAACAAACTCTTTTTTTAACAAATCATGATCAATAGATAATTTGTGCTGTTCAGATACAAGTTCATCTTGAACATTGAGTGAGTTGTTGAGATCATGTTTACGCTGGGAAATTTCCCGGCTCAAGCGATTATCAAGATAAGATACCTCGGTTGTCAGTTTCTCATTTTGTGCTTGCAATTCATTATTGATTGAAAAGGATCTGTCCAACGTCTTAATTAAAGATACAATTCCAGACTCAACATTACCAAAGTTAATTTCAGGATGATTTATATTCAATTGTTTAAAATCTAGACAGAGTTGTGATGAGCAATTTTCTGATATTTCGTCTAAATTGACAGTCTCAAACAGTTCTTCAATAAGTTTAACCATAATGCTCAGTGACTAGTATGTAATAAATTGAATTTAAAATATCATACACAAAGGTTAGTAGAATTATAACATGTATTTTACAACAAAACTCAATATATTTAACAAGTTTGGTAAATGTCAGGGAAAACTTTATCACTATTGATGCGCGTTGGTTGATCCGCAGTGATAAAGGAGGTTAAATGAATGCATTTTCAGCTTCATTTAAGGCTTTGTAGAACACTTTATTTTTAAAATTTTCTATTTTTTCATAACAATACATATCGGTTTCTTGAACGTTAGCAATGTTATAGTCACAAAAAAATTACCTTATATTTTGAGATGCAATTTTTGTCATTTGTACAAAATTTCAGTAATTTAAGCTGGCTAGAGTGGGTGCCCTTTTAATTTTACAAACACAATTTGTCCGGTGATAAAGTTAGTTTTTTTTGCTTATTTCCATGTTAGTTGTTAATCCAGTTGCTGATTCAGTTTTGGAAAGTTTGGCTGGTTCTTTGTCAGGAATCTTGAGGTTCAGGTGTAAAATTACATGATGTAATAGAGCACAGAAAAGAATTTGTATAGGATTTAAATTTAAACAATATAAAGCATATATTGATACCGGGAGACAAGGATGATTCTAAGCAAGTCAGTTACCCTCTACAAAATGGTATAATTATTATTTTCCAATAAAATATAATTTTTTATTACTTTCAAATAAGGTATAATTTGTCAATGGCTTCTGGATGGTTGATTCTTTTCACTCATCAGCAAGTAACCAGTAAAAGGTACCTTGTAATGTCTAATTACTGAATATAATCGTTATTGCTTTTCAACAAATACTAGTCAAATTCATTTTAGTTTTTAGACATAATTTGATTATTTTACCAACATTGTAACCATTCCCTCCACAATACGGGTTTTGTAACTATACTGTTTGTATGTTTTGTAATTATACTGTTAGGAAATTTTGAAATGTATGTATTGTATTTGTAATTATACTGTTATAATGTAATAATGTAAAAAGCTAAGGATTTTTAATGTATGTATTGTAGTTATGCTGCTGATGTGATATTAATTTCAAAAGATTTTGGATTGCATTGTAGTTATACAGGGTGGCTGAAAAGTAACTTGCAACCATTTGAGATATATTAAATCGGTTTACGGTAACCTTCTTAGATATGAGGGGCTACAATAATTATGGTAAGTTTTGAAAATTTTTCCCTTAGGGGTAGCGGCAGTAGGGGGTAGCTCAAAATTTTCAAACGGCAAGTATTGTCGAGTTTGGTATATTTTTACAGGTCTCTAAAGACTTGTTATTTGAAAATTTTGAGCTACCCCTAAGGGCAAAGTTTTCAAAATTTACTATAATTATTTTAGCCCCTCATATCTAAGAAGGTTGCCGCAAACCGATTTGGAATATCTCAAATGGTTGAAAAGTTAAGGGTTGCAAGTTACTTTTCAGCCACCCTGTATTGTTAATGTAAATAGCTAAGGATTTGTTTTCCTTTTTTGTACGTTTTTGTTACGAATTTAATAAAATAAAGCAACCAAAGACTTGGATCATTGCTTGACAATCCTTGAAAAAAACCTGTATTCCAACTTCTTTATGTTTAAATAGTTATTAGTTATCTTAGTTATTAGATTAATCTAAAATCCTGTGACAACAAACCTGTTTATATTAAAGCCTGGCTAAATTTTCAATGTTTCTTATATCCAAAGGCTACAAACAGGCCTAAAGAGATTGATATTTTGTGGGTTGGATCCCTGTTGCATATCTATGCTCAAATAGAGTAATTAGCAAGTAGCTTACGATCAGTAGCAAGTAGCTTACGATCAGTAGGCGAGGTCAGAAAATTACCAGAGCCAATTTTTAACCTCATGGACTTCATTTGGAGCACTAGGGTTCCCAGGGACCCTCCATCAAAAAAGAGGACAAAATTACTCACCAAGGGTGGTCCTAGACATATATTTTGGGGGGACACCGGGGGAATACCCCCAAGCAAAGAAGGGGGGTCCGGGGGTTCCCCCCGGGAAAAATTTGGAAATAACGTGCTAAAATTAGTACTTTTTAAGCTATTTTGACGACCTAGTTTAATGTGTTCAAGCTTCCCAGTTTATTTTTTAAAGGTCAAGAAATGTTAAAAAATAAACTTGTACTCGTATAATGTCATGTTTTTTTTTTATTATTGAGACTTGTGGTTTAAATATCAAAGGAATACCGCAACATTACAAAAACACATTCAAGCATGTTTGATTTACAAAAACACCCTGGTGTCAATGTGCATGCTAAACAGAAATTGTCCAAAATCAGACCATGATTTTGAACCAGAGAACTTATTTTATCTAAGAAGTGTTTAAGAACTAGCACCCAACACGACTGCATTATACCTGCCCAGCAAGCAACAGTTCATGTCGACCATGCTTAAAACAAGTAAACTTTTCTTTCAAGTTTTCTGAAAATACACATTTTCATTTCGGGATTAGGTTAGGCCCTAGGGACGATCAACACGGACAAATTAAAAAGTAAGATAATTATTTTTTAAGTAGGCATGTAACATGTAACGTAAAGTAAACAAGTAAGCAGACGACGAAGAGCTAGTCACTGGTCGACGGCCGACGGTCGCTAGTATGCTACTGGCCTGGCAAACTGGCTAGCACAGAAAACATACTAGTGCTACTAGTGAGCAGAGTTATTCAGTTTACAGTCAGCAGAGTCAGGCAAAGCAGGAAACCCATTGTTCGCCTTCCAATGGATTCTAGCGTACGTTATACACGAAATTTGACCAAAAGAAAGAGGAAATGACACTTTTATACGTAAGATATTATTAAAGTGTAGTATTTTTTAACTTATTTTAATGTTATGATGACGATTAATTATAAAAGGTGATTGCTAATATTAATACTTGCAGAAATATTTTTTATTCTCTCAAAGTCAAAATCCTGGACATTTGAAAGTATTGCCAAAAATCCCCCCGGACGTTTTTTTTTTACCCAAAAAGAGGACGTGTCCGGGAAAAAGAGGACGTCTGGGATCCCTAGGAGCACTGAAGTAAAGTCGTTAGTCTATAACATGATCAGTGCGTTCGACATGGTGCGAGTCGCTTAGTGAGGCCGTCAACGTTTAATTTAATACTACGCATATTTATTCATTGTCGTCGCCAAGAGTAGCCGTAGCCTAAAGGCTGTTATTCAATTAAATTTTAAAAATTAGTTGATTCATAAAACTTTATTACTCTAAATAAACAGCATTTACAATAAAATAGTCAATAATCTATGTCTATAAAAGCTTTTACACAACTACTGTAAAGCCTGTGTCACACTACGCTACTTTACTAGCAGCTAGCGAAATAGCAGCTACTAAGTAGCCAATGTGACATAGGCAGTAGCAGCTACTAAGAGTAGCACGCTAGTGAAATTTTACTAGCATGGAAAGTTGAACATGTCCAACTTTCCGTGCTACTAAACTGCGCTAGTGAGTCACGTGACCAACTAGCAGCTATCAAGTAGCGACTGTCGCCCAGTGTGACAGCTTCAATAGCAGACTAGCGGCTACTTGCACCACGTGCTGTCTGCCTGATTTGTTTATTCTCGTTCATTTTGAATAATTTCTGAAGTAATCATGAGTGATCCGAAGTGGGGTGGGGGAGATGTGATTAATTTTTTTAACCTGTATAGGAAATATCCGCGTCTTTGCGACATAACCTCTATTGAGCTAAACTAGTAGTAGCAGCTAGTGAATAGACGCTACCAAAATAAGTGTGACAGGAAAAGTAGCTGCTATTTCAGTAGCTGCTACTAGGTAGCTGCTAGTAAGTAGCCAAGTGTGACACAGGCTTATAGGCTATGTCACACTACGCTACTTTACTAGCAGCTAGCGAAATAGCAGCTACTAAGTAGCCAATGTGACATAGGCAGTAGCAGCTACTAAGAGTAGCGCGCTAGTGAAATTTTACTAGCATGGAAAGTTGAACATGTCCAACTTTCCGTGCTACTAAACTGCGCTAGTGAGTCACGTGACCAACTAGCAGCTATCAAGTAGCGACTGTCGCCCAGTGTGACAGCTTCAATAGCAGACTAGCGGCTACTTGCACCACGTGCTGTCTGCCTGATTTGTTTATTCTAGTTCATTTTTTTTTAATTTCTGAAGTAATCATGAGTGATCCGAAGTGGGGTGGGGGAGATGTGATTAATTTTTTGAACCTGTATAGGAAATATCCGTGTCTTTGGGACATAACCTCTCTTGAGCTAAACTAGTAGTAGCAGCTAGTGAATAGAGGCTACCAAATAAGTGTGACAGGAAAAGTAGCAGCTATTTCAGTAGCTGCTACTAGGTAGCTGCTAGTAAGTAGCCAAGTGTGACACAGGCTTAACTATAACTTTTCTACCATTAAAACTCCAAAACCATAAAATTATCTTTCCCATTTATGAGATAATTATTACAGAGACATTTTAGCCTTTTTGCTATGATCTAAAACTTATATCAGTCCCTATTTATTTAAGTTAAGCCGTAAAAATAAAATAATAGTACATAATCCATATTTTTTATGAATGGAGCATTTTGGTGTTCTAAACTAATGGATTATCAAAGAAAAATTATACCGTTATTTTTTATAAGCTAACAATAAACGTTGTAATGCTATAATAGTATTAGACAACATGTCAAAATACAATTACATTAAAATTTTCAGAGATTTGGTAAACCTTTTTCAAGATGATTAACACAACATTTAATCACATAATTTTTAATGAACTCATTACTATTTAATAAAAAAATGACTCCTGTGAATATGCAAAAAAAATCACGAAACCATTACATTGTAATCGATACAGCATGCTCATTCATTTTAACAAAACTAGAAGAAGACTTGGAAACAAAATGTGAAATAAACATTCTTCAAATTACCACACTAAATTGAGAAAAAAATCAACAAATACCATGTAATAATTTTGTACTGTAACTTAAAATGTTACAAAACTGCTATTTAACTGTTAAACAATTGGAAGACGTACAGTATACTTTGGTAATCGGATATTATATAAAAATTATTTGAAAATTGAATACGGTAAGTTATATCATTTAACAAAAACGACTCCATTGTTTGAAGCATATTAAGCTTAGGCCTATGTTTTTGAAAAGTAATATGATATCTGACATAAAAAATTCAAACATTGCATTTTGATTACTAAAGTACATTGTATATTATTTACATGTTAATTTTTAAAACACTGCCTATTCACAGCCATGTTATTACAATTTTTAGTTAAGCTTATTAAAATATTTATTTCCTCAGGTTATTACAACTTTTACCATCAATTGTTGTTTTTAACATACATGTTACTAAAATTTTAATCAGCTGGTCACTTTCTAAAACATATATTTTTAGGAAGTTATGCCATCCAAGTTTGGAAATTAAGTAAAAATAATGTAAAACAAATAAATAGTAAGGAAATAAACAATAAACAATGAATATTGTTCAGATTTAATAAATATAAAATTAATTAATTTATGTTCAAACTAAAAAAAATACCCCCGCTGCAGAAAACCCGCAGACTAAGCAAATTTTCATTTGCCTGATTTGATTTTCACTTAAATATATTTCAACAACATTAGGTTTAACGAGTAACTAGGTTTTCCTGCTAGATAGGCAATAAAGTGTGTTTTTAGGAAAATAATTATTGCTTGCTATAGAATAAATAAATTTGCCAAGATTGATCAAAATAAATCCATAGACAAGCAATCCATAACAATTTAATTATCTATACTATTATAAAAAAGAGGTGGTGTCTGTGTGTATGGGAAAAGTAAACGCGAAAACTACTGGTCGGATCGGGCTGAAATTCGGCATGATGATAGCTCATATTCCCGATTAACATATAGGCATATTTTTATCCCAAAAATCCTTCCGGGCTCCGCCCCAGTGGCTCTGGAGCAAAGGTTCCCATGTTAACCTTATGAGAAATGGAATTAATGAATCTTAACAGCTGTTTCAATTAAACAAGTTGGTTCTGTTCTATGATTTTCAATAGCATTAAAGTTACAAGGATCACCAACAGGGTGCAGCACTAGCATTATTTCTTTTACATTTATGACAACAGCTAATTTGCAACCAAAAGGTGAGTGAGCGTAGCGAACGAACTTCAACCTGGAGGCGAGTGAGCGTAGCGAACGAGCTAACCTGAAGGCAAGTGAGCGTAGCGAACGAGCTAACCTGAAGGAAAGTGAGCGCAGCGAACGAGCTCTAACCTAAAGGTGAGTGAGCGTAGCGAACGAACTTCAAAAAGAACCGAAATTTCTTAAACCATGTCCTCACTCATAACTGCTATAAGCATTTGATACTTATATGCCAACCCCGTACGAAGGACGGGTACTCTGCTAGTTCTCTATAAGAATAACATGGGGATTTTAATTTTAACATTTTTAGAATTTTCTTTGTAACCAATAACCGTACAAAAAGCTCAATTTTTTTAAATCATTTGTTTTTTAAGCTCTTTAAAATGGTTTAAAGGTAAATTAGGAAAAGTTATGTTTTGAGAGTAAAAATTAAAAAAAAACTTTACCCCATAAAACACCCCACAAAACCCCGTTCCCATGTGCTAATCATGCTGGTTCGCGAACTCCTTAAAATAAAAGTGGGTTTACACGTTTGTGCAAAATTTCATTAAATTTTTGATCGAGTTATCGTGCTAACGGACACAAATATATATATATATATATATAATATGTGAATTTAAACAGATGTTGTTTTTGACCTCTGGGGACATTAAAACAAAGAAAGTAAATCAGTCCCGAGCCCAGGTCTTAACACGAGACCTACGGTAATAGCTTATTACCGTTAAGCTATGAAGTTTGTTAAAAAAAAGCATGATTTATGACTTGACAAATGTTTTGAGTTATGGTTGGGAATTTTAAAATTATTAAAAACGTCTTAAATGAAACAGATATGTTGACAAATTATTCTACAATAAAAATCAGTATAACTAATCCTACAGGCACAACAGTCTATTTAAGCACTTAATTAATTAATTGTCCAACATACTGAAATGTGCTTCCCTCATTTAAAATATGTCCTGAAATATCAGGGAAAGTTAGGAAATTCAACCCATTTACATTCCATCGAGAAGGGAATGGAAAGGCATTCTAGACTAAATAAAGGGAGCCAACGCATAATTGTAGGGATGTTTACCGGTTATAGATCGGTTTTAAACATCTAGGAATAATTAGGGCTACCAACGCAGATATTATGCAATAAAAGTAGAATATAACAAACACCTGAGCCTAGATTGTTCAGCTCTAGCCCAGTTGAGGTTCGAAACCCTAGGAACAGCGGTGATAAGGCCAAAAATTATTATGTAAAATGGATGTCCTACAGACAGGATACACCCATTCAGGCGGGTCCTAGCTTTGGTTAGGGAAAATCAGGACAGGCCCTCCTTTTTCTAGTATTAACACAGGCAAAAGGGTCTGAAGTCCCCGACGGGTGGCAATCCTACCTACAGCTGTTAGGATTCGCTAGGAGTCAGGAGAGGCTACAAAAGCCTATAAGGTCAAAGTATTAAAGGGTAGCCGTACCCAAACTCCTCTTTCACACAAAAATATGGACCACCTTCTACAAAAGATTTTTACCAATTTTTTGGCTGTAACATCGCTGTGTACTGTCTCAATCCTACTAATTTCTAATAATGCGAACATCATCGTTTATTTAATATCTCTTCACCTAAAATGAGGATATGAAAGTAGCTGACAGCGCTTACTTGGCTGAGGGATACTGTAAAGAGAAATACATCTGTTTAGAATTCAGAATAGAATGCGAACTCAACGTTGCAATAGTTTTATACAACTAAAATACGGATGAAATGTAAAAACATTAAAAATCTATTTTACTCCATCAAACACAAAGTTAAGATGGCAGCAAAATATTCTACATTATTTCTGAGACAACAACTAATTTTAGAATCTAATTTGTATTTACATGTCTGAGTGTAACCTATATGAAATTTACAATAAATCCTAATACCTATTAGAATAACAATATTACACGACAAAAGATTAAAGGTAGTATACAAATATTATAATCTGTAACAAATGAGCAAATCACCAAAGGCAAGAAATAAGCAGACATTTTTTAAGGAATTTTAATGTGTGCTGGTGACAATAAAAAAAAAAAAAACTATGTAGGTTTGGAAGCAAAATGAGTAAAAAAAAAAACTAAGCTTGAGTAAAAACCCTACAAAAGCAAATATTTTTTTCCAATCAATCGAAATCTGAAATATTCACACCATGACTTAGTGCTTATCATATTTTTAATTCTCAAAATTGAACACTAACATGAAATGTGCAGTGAAAATTTATATTTAGAATGTGTAATTGACGTTTTGTAAAACTTGCATTGATTATTTTTGTGTTTACACCATTAAACACTAATTCAACATTGGATACTCTAAAAAAAATTTAGTCAAACTGCTGCTTCTCCTAAATCTTATATGGAAAAAAGAAAATTGTACAGAAATATGTACGGTATACAACTGGATATATTTGATGAACAAACATAAGTACAAGGAAATTCGAGGTTTGTATTACTCAATATGTTTTGGAACAAAAGATTGTATTAATATTCAAATATAGTTGGCTAAAGAACATAATTCAAGGAATTTCAAGGACCTTAATATTACAAATAAGATGTTCAATACATGGTTTATAGCACCAACTCTTATCACATAAGTACAAAATGCCTAGCTTACGTCAATAAACTGCGAAAGAAATGCAAAACAGAAACTTAGAGTAAAATAAAAACTTTTAAATAGCACTGTCACACATGATCAAATCAAAATTAAAACAAGACATCAGTATAAAAAAAACTTTAAAAATGCATTGTTCAACACAGTAAATAGCCATAACCAAAAAAACAATGGAATTAGTCATAATTCTAATGTTTGTGACACTATACTAAACTAATAACTTACCTACTATTATTCCTACAGTGCATACTATTTACAATATTTAAAATATATATGTTTGTAAAAAAAGCAAAAAAATAACAGTAGTTTACAAGTTTCCCTAACAGAGAGTTTCAAGTAGTTGTTTCGGTGCACAGTTGGGTTTTACCGGTGAAGTAAACATGAGCTTGGAAAACAATAAATCACCAAAAATAAACTTTCTCTGTGTGATGATAAATAAACATACTTAAAGCTGTTATTCACTGAAAAACACTAAAAAGATGATTTGATTTTTTTTAACTTAGACTGATACAAAACGTTCAACATTTTCATTTATTTTTACCTTAAGGTACAATGAATGGACATTTCCTGTCGATAAGGGTTATTTGGTTTTTCAATAAGCATCTTTTAATTAAATATGCAAACCCTTAATAAAAGAAAAAAAACTAAAACCATCCATTTTACCTTAAAAATTTAAATAATCATCCTTAGTAATCAGGAAACATTTGAATACTTCTCCTGTGATATCTCGAGTAAAAACGACCCCAGCATAAACAGCAACACAGAAAAAACCAATTAAATTTGCCACACAATTACGAAAAAAAAAAAAATTTCTTGCGGGCCTACTTAAAAAATTTTATTTTTAAAGCTAGTTTGAAAAAATCCCAAAACATATTCTCTCTCAACAAGATCAAGAAACTTCTCCCCATCGTGATAAAAAAACACTTTAAATGCACGAGACGGACATATCTAATAGGCAAAGCGCAAGTTGGGATCGTAGCCGAGTTTGTCGAGGTTAGGGATGCAGGCGAAGTTAACCATTGGTGGAGGTCCGCACATGAGAACCAGCGTGTCCGCCGCAGGAGGAAAAAGATGTTTTTGGATCATTTCGGAGTTGACAAAACCTGTGCTGTACTTCCAATCTGGAAATAAAACATGAGAGTTATCAGTGCTGCAAATCCAGCTTTTTCAGACGTGAAAAGAAAACGAAAAGTGAAAAGGTTGCAGTTTAAGCCAATAATAAAACATTTAAAAAACTTAAAACAAATCCACTTAGGCCTACTGTACATTAGACAAAATTCTCCCCTTAAAATAATTGGCCAAAAGGGATTGTCTTGCCATACAAGCAGGAATGCAGGCTTGTGGGTCTTGACAATCGCTATTTTGGCTGTGTTTCGCTCAAACATTCTCCCGCCGCTGACTATTTTTACGGTTATGTCATCCTCTTGATGACATCATAAAATTCTGACTCCATCTTGGTTGCAACGTATCTTCATTGGAGGGGTGGTAGGAGAAAAGGTGGGGGTTATTACTGATATTCTGCAAGTGTAACGTTGATGATAACTGATGATGATGACTGCCCCAAAGAAATAGGAAAAAATCTAACTACTTGATCTTTGACAGACATGGTTGGATAAAACAAAAGGTCGAAACTAAAGATCAGATAATGGAGACTCTACTCTGTACCGGTTATGATTGTAAAACAAATCCATCATCAGCCACAAATTCTAAACGTCATATTTTTCTTACACGTCACAATTTGCACACCTCTGTAAAGGAAAGTTTTCGACGAGTTATATCTGACACCAGTATTGTGATTTTTATCACCCCCACCAAATTCTACCTGTTCCCCCCTCTACGCAACACTCTTGTCGTTAAAGCAATTAATTCAATGGAAAATTACCATTCTAACCAAGTATGAATTGCACTCTGTGATTCAATTTATGTGTTGTCGAACTTTATATGATGTTTGAACAGGTCTATTAAAGTTAAAAAAGTTTTAGAATTTTTTTTATAGGGTTATGAGCTCCGAAATGTACATTGCCTTCTCCGAGATGGAAAGGTTAAATATAAAAAAAACAATCTAACCTTCAGAGGGAGTGTCTACTGTGTACCAAAGTTTAAACTGTGCACTGTGTTTCTGTACTACTTCCTCCAGTTCCTCCCTCAGCAGAATGTCTTTCTCTGATTGATTGGCAAACAGCAGCGCCATCTTGGTGGTGTCCTGAGGGTCCTTGGTGATGTGTCGGATCAGCTGCAACATCGGTGTGATTCCTGTCCCTCCTGCAACAGTCGAGTTAAAATAACATGTGTGTTCCCACGTGAAGTGATGATGGGATTACCACCAGTCGCAAGGAGTTTACACGACCCACATTTTATAGTCAATCTTTAGGATTTAGTTCACCTCAGAAAGCCATTGATGGCAAAGTGTATTGTTGAGAGTTGTACAGTTATATGTTCAGTGTTTAGTCACATTTCGTAGACAAATTGAATCAGTCACGTGAACTGATAAAAAAAAAACAGAATAAAAGGTGTTTAAGGGTAAGAAAGTGTATCCTTGAAAGGGATGCAGAGGTTAATCAACTGATTGCATTGTGGTGACTGTTCAAGAGCCTACAACTCCGTAGCAGTGTGCTGTGGCTTCAATATAGGCTAGCATACTTACTAAACAAACAAACACAAAAACCACTAGTAACAAACAAAACGCAAGCCTGGAATGCAAAAATGTAAGCTGTTGAGTACTGTTCATGACTGAAAAATTAACCAGTTTGATCTAAAGTCGTCGGTAATGAACTCTTGGTGATCAGAAACAAACTCACTTGGCGTCATTCCCACGGAGTGTATTCCATGAATGTACCATTGTGGTATAAGCAACATGAGGAAGTCAGTAGTGCAAAGGTAGACAGCCCATTACGAACCAGCTGTCTTCTTAACATCCTAAGATAACCTACTAACCTACAGTGCTAATTCATTGGTTCAGTTTATTTTTGTAGTATCAGCTCATTGTTTGTTTTACTTGATACGATCCTTGATGCTAACGTCTTTCAGGCTCATGTGGTTGAATAAATGCAAAGTTTAAGGACACAGTACACAGGTGTATAACAATGAAGATTCTTGAGTTTGGCTATGACTATCATTAACCACAGCTGGTACTCTGTTCCAAGACACAAAAGGGAATAAAAGATTTACTAACCAGCGATCATAGCCACTTTGCTGACGGTGACGATTCGAGGAGGATCTTTCCTCAACAATTTGAGGGAGAATCTTCCTCCACCAAGGTACTTGAGTCGGCCGCTGGGACCTCTCACGTCGATAAAGTCTCCGACCTTCATGTTGTTCAGATACTGACTCATCTTACCACCGGCAGGGAATTTAGGATGAACGTCTTTTAAATAAACCTGTGAACAAATGGTAAGTTGTATTGAACAAGCTTGAGTGTAAAATCTTGGACTATAGAACTAGGTGTTCCATTCCCATGTAAAAGTTGTTCCCAAGCGAGTTTAGAATCAAAATGGATGTAGATGAATTAAGCTAACAACAGAGTGTGCACCATACTCTTTGGTAGTATCACCAAAAGACAAGCTACAGTAAACGGAAACAAAATGGTTGTCAGCTAAGTGGTTACCGTCTCAAACTTTGGTAAGAGGACACTTAATTTTTTCATATCCACAAAAATTAGACAGATTTAAACCGCTTTCTCTTAAAAGTGTTTGTAATTGCTTCATTCAAAATGCAACTTGTGTAAACCCACACAAAATCAAACAAGTTCATTTAGTTGTAATTGTTTCAAAGTCAGTTAAATAACAAGAAATCAACACTAGTGTCTAAATTCAATGATTCAAATATAGTACTTGTTGTTGTACAAAAATATTATTTAAATGATAGTGTACCTTAACAACGAGATCCATGTAGCCGATGTCGTCATCCGAGGTAACGGGAGTGTAAGAGCGGATGATTGGCTCGTTGTCTATGGTAGCAGAGAGAAAGATATGTTGGCCGATCGGCAAACCTACAGAAAATAATCTCAATTACAGAAACAGTTGATGACATAACAACAAAGACGTGGCTGCTGTCTTAGCGTTTAATTCAGGTGGTTGTTTATTTTATATCATGATGGAAAATGTCTGCAATTTTTTATATAGTTAAACTCAACATCGCCAAAAATAAACTTCAATCAAAGAAGAGATTAAAAATAAGTTGTATTTCAAGTTTAATTGAAAGTTGAGTTGCATCTACATGGTAAAAGGTACTCTCATCTTTTATGACTATTTTTAACCGTCCATGGCTGATTATTGGGCATTTGTTTTATCACTCTGATTTTATCCATTGAACTTTAGGGCTATGTGATCAAGTTATATTTATAAGCCACATGTACCAAGAGTGAATCCTACAGCTTTTTGTCATCCAAGCCAAAACATATATAAAAAAAAAAATTTTTGAACACACCATTGAAGCAGAAACTAAGTAGCCTATTATTAAATGTTCATAATTAATTATAATTTAAAATTAAAATATTAATGATATTTAGACATAATATAAAGGGTAATTTTTTTATTGGTGCGGTTTTTAAAACTAAATAAAAAAATGAAAAACAACCTGCATTGACATAAAAATGCATTTATTTGAACTACAGTGTCATGACATTAACGTTTAAAAATGATTTCTGGCATATGAGCTCCATTCCGTTTGCGTAGAAAGCCCAATCGAGAAGTCCGATTGAAAAGAATTTTCGAATACTATTTCCAGCAGCTGTGGTTGAATTCCGCCAATAACTCGACGAATTTTAGCTTCCAAGTCATTCAAAGTTTGTGGCTTGTCAGCGTATACTTGAGACTTAACATATCCCCACAGAAAGAAGTCTGTTGGCTTGATATCACACATCCACTTCAAGTTCGTTTAGCTGAGGAACGAAAAAGTCCCGTAACATTGCCCGATAGTGTTGAAACTTTAAATGACTTGGAAGCTAACATTCGTCGAGTTGTTGGCGGCATTCAACCACAGCTGCTGAAAAGAGTATTCGAAAATTGGACTTCTCGATTGGGCTTTCTACGTGAACGGAATGGAGCCCATATGCCAGAAATCATTTTTAAACGTTAATGTCATGACACTGTAGTTCAAATAAATGCATTTTTATGTCGATGCAGGTTGTTTTTCATTTTTTTATTTAGCTTTAAAAACCGCACCAATAAAAAAATCACCCTTTGATAGACATGTCTGATATTCGCTCTACACTTGTGTTAGCTGTGTTATGGCATGTAAGATTAAAAACTTTAATTTTGAAATTTTGCAGAGACTGCAAATTTTGTAAGAGGATGCAAGCTGGAGAAATTTCAGGAACAGTTTGGTTTTGTGTTAAGTAAAAACCTCAATAGCTAAAAATATTCCTGAACTAAATGAAAAGTCAGAAGAGAGGTGTAAATTAAATTAAATAGTCAAATCCATTGTACACTTTATTTAAATTAGTAAAAAGCTAAGAGATGTAGAAATTATCTATTATTAAACACAATCTTGTAAGTTCAAGGCTCATCATTTTGATAAGGTTACGACTTTGAAGATTTGTCAATTCATATTTTCTAAACTCACAAAATGAAAATTATGTTGCGTTATTAAAACAACAACCTTGATTAAGTTGTTAACCAAACAAAACTAAGCAGCTTGGGTTTCAAAGAATGCAACTTTTTTTATACTGTACTCAGGTTATCAACAGTCATCCTACAAACACTTTACCGGTAGTCTATTTTGTTGTTAAGATTAAATGGGGCTTAAAATCCTAATTGACTAAAATAATCTAATATGATGACTAAGTAAGAATTTTGTTATGTAAACTAATGCCCACAAAATAAACAAATGAAATCAATATCAAATTAAATCTACTTAGTTTTTAAACATAAAGTAACTGAAACTTTATGTATGCCTAAATTATAAACATCCAGTGACAAGTAATGTTTTTCTCTGTGATTTTAAGTGAAAATTTAGTCTCTATGGGTACTAAATCATGTTTTTGTAACATGGTTTTTGTAGGTAAATAATTAAGCTTACCCGAACTTGGAATTTGTTGGACAAAAATAAGTTGTCAAAAAGGTTGAATTATAATGGTTTTGCTACCTACTGACAAAGTGATTGAAAATAGAAAAGCTTCGGTTTTGATTTAACAACTTATTTTAATTCAAATCAAATCATCCTTTATTGCCATAAAACTTAACTTCAGCATTGGCATGACTCAAATGCAATGCAATTAATTACACAATAACTTAATATAGGACAAACAGGGACAAATAAAAAAAAACCTTTAAAATCTCTAAAAATCTAATACTTAAAAATTCATAGACACTATAAAACGCTCCCTACAGTAAATTCATAAATACCCTCCCAAAACTTATCTGGGACATTTCAACCCTCAGACAATTAGACGACCCATTGTTCATAGATCTTCATAGCAGAGTGGTGAATATTAAACTAGAAAGATAGTTTACAAATTCTACAGGTAAGAGCAGGATAACTTACTTGCCAATTTGGCTTTATGATCTGAAAAATTTTAATAAATATTTGGAACAATTGGATAACTTCTTGATCAGCATTGTATGTGTTATTAAATTTACGGAAAGTAAATAAAGATACGTCTTATAACACTTAAAATATATATTTACGCTTATACTGTTACTCACAAGACGGTAAATATACAAAATTGGGTCTGATGATGATTGGAGTGTCCAATCGAAATCGATCACCACTTACCATCTTTTGTATATTTACCGTCTTGTGAGTAACAGTATAAGCGTAAATATATGTTTTAAGTGTTTTAAGACGTACCCTATCTTTTTTTACTTTCCGTAACAATTGGAATCACAAGTAGTTCAGTTAATTTAAAGTTTACTGTAAGCATAACACTGCTATATCTAGACAAGATTTGTAGTTATAGTTTGGTTATAAAGACAACATTTTCGCTTGATTTTTAAAGCATTAACAATAAAGCCTAACCAAACGTGAGTAGCCAGTCATTTTTGAACTTAGAATCTTAAAAGTTATAGTATTTTATCAGTCTGTAAACAATTTTTAATGAAGGTAAAGTGCAATTTCTCACCTAAAATATGATTCTCTGATGGCAGGGCGAAGCGAAACTTCTTCGTGTCATGGCTTATATCAATTTTCTCTGCAAGCATGAGAGGGACTTTTGCGGTAGAGTCGACGAGTGTAATTGGACGTTTCTTCTTCGTGAACCAATATGTTGTTAGAATAATGCATGATAGGACAGCCCCAACGCCGACAATAACTGGCAGTGTCTAAAAATAAAAATGTAGGTAGCCTAAATACAGTTATTTAGTTTAGTGTACGACTACGCACCCAAAGATGGAGTAATCTCCTAAACGGCCATGCTATAACAAATAAGGATTGCAAAGGCAGTACCTATGTAACCTTATTTATATATCCACATGCAATCTGCGACACTGAAAAATCATAGATAGATACCAATATGTATATAATATCATAGGTCAAATTACAAAAAAGAGGAAGAATGAGTGTGTGTGAGTTAAAACAAACCTTAATCAAGAAAGCTAAGATTACCTTTACTATCTAACCCAGGGTTGCTATCTGTCCCGATTCTGTCAGTACAGTCCTGATTTCAATCCCTTGTGCCAGTGTTTATGCCCATTTTTATCTGGGGGAGGGGGAGTCCATCCCGATTTTCCCCCAACCAAAGGTGGCAACCCTTATCCAACCTTACCGTACATATAATATCAAAATAAATATGTGGAAGAAAATGTAGCGTTTAAGAGCAATGTTTCTCTGTTTACGGTGGATATGCAAAGACTCTTGTTTTTTGTTCGCTTATAATTTCAGCTCTATTGAGGCTTACACGCTCCCTGTGGTGAATTGATATGTACTAGCCTACAGCTGGTCTAACAGACATGGCCATCGTCCGTCAACAAACACTAGTGTAGCGGTTAAGTTGATGGCAATGTTAAACATTTATTTTACAGCTAAATGTTGATACTGTGAGTTGTAATCTGGTTGGTTTGAGTTTGTCATTGTAAGTTGTTTTGTGTGTGCTTATAGGCCTAGGTCTAGTTTATTGTGTTTGAGCCTAGGCATACGTTACTTTGCACTAAGTTTACACTAGACCTATGGCTAACACATAGACCTAGATGCAGTCTATTATGGATGTAAATGGGTAAGTCATAGTGTTCTTTTAGGCCTTATCGCAGTACATTTTACCCCCTTTAAAATTTGGAAGGCCAACATCACATAATCTACTGGGGTTTTGTGATTTTAATAGAAATGGTTTTACTTAATTTATAGAGAAGTAAGCAACCTTATACTTACAACATTAGACTGGATCATTTTGGCTATATCCTCATAGAAGCCCTGAAAAAAAATAATACTATGATAAAAAATGTTTATCGCCAAAGAAAGTAATAGTTAAACAATATTAACAAATTGAGTCGATCATTAACAAGTTTTAACCCTTCGAGTGTTATGTGTCGTAAAAGCGACTCATAACACATCCGCTGTAGTGTTATGTGTCGCTTTTGCGACTCACAAACACTGTTTACGGCGACGGCTCTGGGAATGACTGAATCGGATTGACTGGATCGAGTTAGGTATAGTTTTTTTTTTCAGCAGATTCAGAGCTTTCTCCTGATGTCTGTTTCTATACGCTTTTCATTTTAGTTCCGAAAATATTGTAGCAGACAGCTGACGTGCGTATTTGTAAACAGCTTGGTTAACCTCGCACCGATGACTGATGTGTTTTACTACGTTTATCATTGTTTTAGTGTTAAAAATCAAAAGTAATGATATACGTGGTGCATTATAAGAAGGTTTAAGTGATTTTGAAGGGCTGGTTGATGATCCTGAAGAAGTAGGTAGTGATATTGATGTAAATTATCAGCCAGATTCCTAGCTATGGTTAGGCTATGCATTCTTAGCTAAACGCTATGTACCGTACCGAAATCTGTTTTTTGCCCATAACTTATTTATTTGCAAACCTACTTCCTTATATTATTATATTTTTGGAATCCTCATACAATTCTGAACAAAGTGGCTATTTTAAAATATTTGTGGACCTATAAATGATAACAATTTGTTGAGCGCAAACATAATTTTTTTAATTTATTTTAGAATTTTTGAAAAATGTTAACCCCACAAAAATTGTTGAACATTTTTTTGTAATGTTTTATATGTTACATTGAAGCCCATAATTTCCCAAACAAAATTATATATCAAACAGTATACTTTACATTGTTTTTATGTTTCTAAGATACATTTTAATAAAACCCTGCGATTGCGCAATAAATGGGCGAACATTAAGACCAAAACTAGAGACACGAGGGTTAAATTGAATTTAAATTATTTATCATCGTAAAAACTAGCAGACAGTTTATGACAATTGTCATAGTAAAAATATTATATAAATTAATCAAGATGGCTTAGTTTAGAAAAGCAATAAACTAGGCTAACTGATCTTTTAACCCACTCTTCCTTCTACAAAACAGGTTTCACGTCTCTAACCCATCTAACCCATCTGTTTTGCCATATGTTGTTACTAATCATCATATTCACAGACCAAGTGATGCACATATGCCACAGACATCCCTGTAGACCACTGCAGAGAATTCAGGGCTTTCAAATAGACCGTTACGAAGCTTTTTAATAACATTGGACAACAATGCATATGTAAAAGGTCAGTCTATTTTAATGTGACCAGCGGTCGCATATTTATGCAGTCTTTGGGTAGAAATCGGCTGTCGCATAACTTATGTGCTGGTCAATATCGCTGGTCCATATGAATGAAAAATTTAGTAATATTGCTTTAGTGAGCGTGTTAAATGATCTTATCATAGGCTATAACTTAAATGTATTTCAACCATATGTCCATTTTTAACCAAATTAAAGTAAAAACAGAAAACCCATGCTCTACCCCTCTATATCAATGTGGAAAAAATAAGTTAAACATGTGTTGTGTGCAGTCCTTCCTAAACTCACAAAGGTCAACTTCAACCCAAGCCAGACTCTGTTTATTTATGGTGGGCCCTTCATTCCATCTAAGCTACATTATAGTAAGCTTAATAAATTGCACATGTAGGCTATGGGATTCAATCCCGCGCATGTAGAAAGACTTAAACGCTACACACGTCAGTGCAACGTCTTAGCCAATTGAGCTACCGTGCCACAAACGGCCAAACAGGTCTATTACCAGTAAAAGCACAGTAGCGCTCATGGAGGGTTTAGGATTGAATGAAAAATATCAAGCAAAAAATGTGATAACTAGGTGAAGTATCAACACTTAGTCCTATTAGGCCAGGCGCACACAGGCGGTTTTGAGTCGCGCAACAGTTGCCCGACTAAAATGTTCAACATTGTTTTAAATTGGAGTGCGCACACCAAGGAAACAGTCTAGGGACAGTCGCGCAACTGTTGCAACCGATGTTCCCGGACCCAATTTGCCATTACCAGGTTTGGTATCCATTGAACCAAGTGTAGATGCGCACACATGCAACTAAATTGTTGCTGTGTCGCTTAGTCTCACCCGAGGAATTCAACTACTCGTGGCCAGATCTGTCACTAGTGTTTGTTCTCTTTTTGTTTGTGAAGTTTTTAGAAAATTACTTAAATACGAGTTCCGTGATGAGGATGTCAAACAATTAATTGATTAAGTTGACAAGAGGCTGCCTTTATATTTAAAGTCATTGAAAGAATGTTCGGATATTAATTTGAAGAAGAAGTTGTGGGATGAAGTGTCCTTGGCAGTTACTAAAGATTGGAACAACCTAACAAAAGAGGATGAAATAAAAAATCACAACTTCAACACATACTACAGCCATTGAAATCCATTCGGATTAACGCTGTTAACGAATGTAATGTCTAATTACGTCTTAAAGACTTTAGATTCACGACTAAAAAGTTGCCTGTGTGCGCACTCCAGCTCAACTGTTGCTAGACTTCAGAGTCTCCGAGTGGGTTGCGCAACAGTCCCCCGATTAGTCGGTCAACTGTTGCGTGACTCACAATCGCCTAAGTGCGCCTGGCCTTAGTATTCTTTATCTTTCTGAATATTTTTCTGCCAACTCACTGCAGCTAACACAAACCCTTTGAGTGCCAACGTCCGGGGAACCGGACGTTTTTAAAACGATCCAAAAGTGCCGACGTCCGGCCGACCGGACGTTTTTAGAACGAGCCAAAAGTGCCAACGTCCGGCTGACCGGACGTTTCGTAATGATCGAACAGTTGTCATAACAACCGAATGGATACTCGGATTCTTTTAACCCATTTATTAACATTGAGTCGAAAGTTACTAGATGCGATACATCGATTTTCGTTGGTCGAAATATCGAAAATTCGATTTTTACGAAATTTTAACTTAAAAATCGCCAGATCGCGCTCGGCATTTTTAGCGCGACCTTCGGGAAAAATCATCGGCATTTTTTGAGCGTTACTTTTATTTCTCGCCTGGCACTCTAAGGGTTAATTTAGGGCCTGAGTGAATTTGTAAATAGGCTAGGCCTATGTTATTTAGCCTGAGTTAGGCTTAATTTATTCAACTAGTTGACCTGTCATCAATGTAATCCAGCACCTAACTAACTATAAATCACTCAAAATAGTCTTTTTACCTAGCAATAAAAAGCACCATCATCAATGATGATGCAAGCCAAATCATGAATTATATTTGCTTCAGGAAAACATTGCAAACCAAGAACTTTGCAAAAACAATGCAACTATACAGAATTGCTACAACCTACTCTAGATTTATCCCAACAACTAAAAAATAAATGAATGCTTTGGAAAAAGCTTTAGTTTAGTAAATGTTAATAATTATAAATATTGAAAAATATTAAGTACAGCACATGGGAGAAATGTGTTGCAAATCAGTTTCTTTTCGAGTAATTTAACATGTTAGTAAAATAGAAGGTAGTATATTAACTTATACCATTTTTGTTATGATTCAAACCAAGCCAAAAAACAAAACACAAGCTTTCAATAGTCACCTATCAATATAAACTGAACTTTGAAGTTCTCAATTCTTCAAAACGATTTACTCACCAATTTGATTGACCTTGGAACTCTAGCAGAAGGCAAAATCAGCAATCAGCAGTAGAACATATTTCAAACAGCTGATTGATTTCTTACTAAATGCAGTAAAGAAGAAAATCATTCAGCTGTAGAATCATTGATCATATACGTATGGAAATCCCATCAGACTTAAATAGACATTTATTGATGAAACGTGCAAAAAGTTATCTAGAGTTGTTCTTTCTGCTGCGTATGCTTAAGATTAGCTTAAGTGAAGCCTTTCTTCTAAACATCTACTACGGACTGTTCTATAGTCACATTACTACGGCATACTTCTCTGGGGCCATGCTTCGGGGTGTGATGAAGTGCTCAGGCTACAAAAATCTGCCTTGAGAGCCATAAAATCTAGCGCTCCTTTGGAACACTGTAAGCTAATCTTTAGAAGGCTTAAGGTGCATACTGTTATTGGGCAGTATATATTCTCCTCCCTTGTACATGTCCGGTCGATGTAGGTGAGCTACTAAAGACCAAATGAGATGTTCATAGCTATAATACACCATTTTCCTGCTTTTTCTTTGGAAGTTGTTCAACAAGCTCCCCCCAGAGATCAGCACTCTTCCGAAAAAACGTTTTCCAGGGTTGTACGAGACAGGCTTCTTCAAAGAGCCTATATACTACCATAGATAAGTCGGTTAGTCTATGATACTACTCCGTGAGGGAGTATTTTGATGACAAATGGTAGAGTGCACATCACCTCATCCGTAGTCATCCGCCAAGTTTTTATTTTTATTTTTGAAACATTTAAATTTAATTATTTCCTTGAAAGATAACTGATATTTATATTTAAAAATTGACACAGTTTATCCAGCTATACTGGTCAACAACGCAGCTTTGGTAATGTTGGTAATTGATGATGAGAGAATTGGGAGGATTTGCACTTTATGGCAAAAATGTAGTCGAGATTCGTTAGGCTATAATCATAAACTAAAAAAAAAAACACACACAAATTAGACTTCTTATTCCATTGTAAATTTTGAAGCTCTTTTTTCGAGTCTAGTTTATGTTTGCGACACTGATCGCTAGTGTTGACAAAATATTCTTTCCATTATTTTAAGGTCAATTTCATCATTTTTGCTTCACTGTTTGGTTTTATAACTAGGGGCGAGTTATTGTTTATGATCCCATCGTTTTATTTGGTTAAACATCAAGGTTTAAAATGACTGAAATTATAAGAAACAAATTGTAAACCAAACACGACCTCTACAGTGCACCGGAAATAACTAACAATAAAATTGTTTTCAGCTGTTCCATAAGGATGAGAAATCTACCAAGGGAATATGTTTTATCATAGACTAACCAACACATGTTTTATCTATGCTAATAATGTTGCAAATTATATATCCCGGTAACTTACAATTTCACGGCTTATAATCTCGTAATTTATGATCTCATGGTGTATTTAGCTCGTACTCATATCGTATAATCTGTTATAGTCTCCTATTTCTCAAAATATCTCTCGCCCTTTCATTGCATCCTTTTGTATTCATCATGTCTGTAATAAAATAAATAAACGGTATCAGCATTCTGACACATACTTTCTCCCATAAGATTGTCAACAACCTCTCATGAGTAAGCGGTGAGAGTAAATATACGGAAATGGGATTTGTACAATTTTCTTCAGAATTTAAAGGACTATAACATACTAAATTTTTATCAAAATCGTTCTAGCCAATTTTGGGGAAATCCGATTTTCCGTTATTTTATGGGGATTTTTATGGGAAAATAACATAATTTACCATAACTTTTGAACCGTAATTGTTACAGAAATGGGATTTGTATCATTTTGTTTAGAATATAAAGGAATATAACATACTAAATTTTTATCAAAATCGTTCGGGCCATTTTTGAGAAAATCCTATTTTTCCAGTTTTTTATGGGGTTTTATGGGAAAATCCCCATTAAAAATAAAATTTTCTAAAAAATGGCAAAAACTATCAAAATTGTAAGGATCATAACATACTCTGTTAAATCAAAACCGGATTTGTGTCTAAAATCCTATTTTTTGTTATTTTATGGGGGTTTTATGGGAAAATAACATAATTTACCATAACTTTTGAACTGTAATTTTTACAGAAATGGGATTTGTACCATTTTGTTCAGAATTTAAAGGGCTACAACATACTAAATTTTTATCAAAATCGTTCGGGCCATTTTTGAGAAAATCCGATTTTCCAGTTTTTTATGGGTTTTTATGGGAAAATCCCCATAAAAAATCAAAATTTCAAAAAAATGAAAAAAAACGCCTGGAGATACCACGGATTAGAACCTACATACCAAATTTCATTGAAATCGGACCACAGGTGTAGTCCCTAGCTCTGTACACATCCAGACACACAGACACACACACAGACATCACTTCAAAAACCACTTTTTTGGGTCCAGGGGGACCCAAAACGAATATATCCACTCAAAACTCAAACTCGAAAATTTTGACGAAAACAATACTTTCTCCATATACTATGGTATAGGGGGAGAAAGTAAAATGTAATGTAATTTTATTAAAATGTAGGTATGTAAAATGTAATTAATGTAAAATGTAATGTAATAAAATTCAAAAACTCATTATCTCAACTGAGGCCAGTTAAATCTCAAGTACCCCAATTAGGCCCTTGGCAGCTTATGTACACCAGAAACTTCTCTATGGTGAACTTTGAAGTTGTTTGCAGATAACACTAAACTGGGTTGTCAAGTCATGCAAAACTTCAAGCTTTTCCAATACTCTACAAGTTGCCTTTAAATGAGCTCAAACATTAACTTCAAATACCCCCACCGCAGCAAACCTGCACACTAAGTGAATTTCCATTTGCCTGATTGGATTTACACTAAAATGTATCCTTAAAAAAAATCAAATGTATTCCCTATTTAAATAGAGTTAGTTTAATGAGTACTTAGGTTTGCTGCAACAGGGAGGTTTGTGTTTTTTTTTTTTTTTTAAATGTTAATAGTTTAGTAATAAATAAATTCATTTTACAAATTTGATCAAAATATGTTAATAAACTAGCAAACTACAACAGTTTACTTATTATCCATGAGAATAACATGTGAATTTAAATTTTATTTTATTTTATTTTTTATTTTCTCCGTAACTATTAGGCGCATAGTAATGCTTCAACATACAAAATTATTTGTTTTTTTAAGCTCTACAAAATGGTTTGTAAAGAAATTGCTAAATTTTATGTTTTTTGGGTCAAAAATGGGAAAAACCTATTTTAACCCCATAAACCCCCATTCCCATAGTCTGATCATGCTGGTTCGCGAACTCGTTCAAATAAATGTAGGTTTAGACGTTTAAACAAAATTTCGTAAAAATCAGATCATTTTTGCTCGAGTTATCGTGCTAACGGATATATATATATATATATATATATATATATATATATATATGTAAAATAATAAAAACCAGAGTACCCTGAAATTCATTTTATATATAAATGAATTTGAATGGATGGTGTTTTTGACCTCTAGGCACCTCAAAACGAAAAAGTAGACCAGTCCCAGGTCCAGGTCTTACCATGAGTACTACGGTAATAGCTTATTCCTTTTATGGGAAATTCGCTAAAAAGTGGAGGGTACAAATTAACCAAAACAAGTAAAAAGATATTTTTGTTTACTCTCTTAAAAGAGAACTCTCCTCCAGTATGTAACAATAAATTAGTAGCCAAGTGTAAAATATTAGGCCTTACCCTTGACAATAGGTTAAATTTGAGAACTGGCATCTGGTACACGAGATAGCAAATGTAATAATTGAAAATTAGTTAACATAATTGGCATAATGGCATTTCAATGTTTACAACAGATTTGGTATCTGGATTCCTATTCTGGAAACTTATTGGTTTACTCCATAGGACTAATAAAAACATACTTAATGTAACACAAGGATAAATTATTATCTCACAATCATTTTAGTATTTATTCCAATGACAATAAATAACACATTCAACTTGTATAAAAAAATGAGATGAAGATGATGAGAATGACGAAATGATGCTCTCTTATTTGGTTCCTGTGGATAGAAGTGCGAGTAATCCACCAGCCAGCCCAACGGACAAGGTGTAGTTACTGATCTGGTCAAGGAAAGCGCTGTTTGGATGGCTATATGGCTAATTAATTTAGCCTGCTTATACGACTAGTTAAAAAAGTTCGGAAAAAGTTAGCTTAGCTAATGAATACAAACCTTAAATAAGAAGCTAAATGCTTATCGAGAATAGTCATACTCAAATTTTTCCACCGAAATAAGCTTTGAGTGGGGCCACGCTACTCTATCTCTCTCTAAGCCAAATTTTTGTCTCACCCTCTCTCACTAAGTCAGTTGACTTGGCCATGCGCTCGCAATAGAAGCGAACCTGGCGGCCACGGCGGGAACTATCCAAAATTCAAATATTCCCAGACTGAATTTTAAACATCTAAGCATTGTGCTTCTTATAAGGTTTGTATTCATTGGCTTAGCTATGCAGGTCATTTGATTCAAAGACTACATGGCTCCAACATGGGGACCGCCTTCTCCTAAGAGATGACTAAATTTATTCAATCAAGCTTTGTAAGGTTATTTACGCCTAAATGGGTCCTAAATAAATCTGTGTAAATTATTGTAATCAATCACAATCAATTGTATTATGTGTAGCTTAGACTATTGCCAAAAAATGAGACAAAAACAGCCAATGGGCTCAATAAATAATGAATGTCTGTAAGAAAGTTTTCGAACAACTGCCTATTAGTGGTCCGTGCCAGAGTAAGTACAATAAAACAGAAAGTTTTATGATTGGCAACTGAAAAATTATTTGTATTCAATTATTGATTTTATCATTCAATATTTCTAAATATTTTTAAGATTTTTAATGCGATAATTTTCTAGTGTGATTCCGTATATTGTTAATGCTTGGCTATTGATTAACCTTATTACAATGACAATTTACAAAACCCTGACTTACCACGCTTTACTCGCTTAAATGGCACAAAATGGAAAAAAAACACAGAATAAAAACATAAACAAAAATGTTCACTGGATCAATAAAAAGTTGCGTTTGGATTTGTTTGTGTTTACTTCAGAATCTAGGAGCGCTGCTGTCGATGGCTGGTAGGTTAGACCAAATAGATTTGGAGGCGGTAGGAGAGAGAACTGACATCACTATAATTTTGATATCTGCCAATCATATAAGTGAAATGCATACTTTGAAAAAATCACAGCATTCCTAGATACTAATGTAGACATTTCCAAATTCAAACACAATGTTTTTTGCTCAGTGAAAGTTTAGGATAGCTCTTTATTCTATAAAATAAACTGATGCTATTTTAAGTAAAAGATTTTTAAAACTACAATGTTCAAACAGAATTGAATAGCTGACTGGAAGTTTGCAGCAAGAAATGCTCAAATTTGTTACAAAATTTAAGATTCTCAAGTATGTAACTTATCTATTGTGTGTAGTTAAAGGATACACGACTGGAGTGAAGCTCTTCAGGACGTAAAAGCTGCTGAAGATGACGAGAGCAAGGAACAGAGCGTTGTTGTAGAAGATGGAGAAAGTTGTCGCTTCATAATCAGCCACTTCGTTTTTCTTCCACAAAATCCTGAGAGAACCACAATGATTTTAAACAATATATATAACTAATGCACTTGTTGCTCGAAATCGAGCAATTGCAAAGTATTCCAGGCGTTATTTCAAAATGAATAACAGTCATAATTTCCGATTACTTAAAAGAGTCAACTCAAAAATAATGTAATCAATCACTCCACTACTACAGGGATATACCTACAGTTATCAAAACTGAAAACGAACTCACTTAAAAACGAACAGTCACTCCATTCCAGTTGTCGAAACTGAAAACGAACGCTTTTGTATCATATGTGTTTACTATGAATAGCTGTAATTAATACAAATTATTCTTCTGTTAAATAAACAAAATCTATCCTTCATAAGAAATACATTGGTATTTTGATGGCCTGTGGGGCAAAGCCCGAGGACTTTCATTACATGAATTGGTAAAAGGGGGCTTTGAATTGGTAAAAGTCTACACAAAAAATACTTAATTTTGACACGTCGTTTTTAAAAATCCGTCCATTATTAACGGAGGAGTAGTGTTTCGTAGAAATCGCCTTCACGTATTATATATGTCATGGTAATACAAAAACATCTTTGGGAGAAGGTTACTATTGTAGAACTTTGATAAAAAGTCTCGCATGGAGATGATCAAATAAGACGTGTAATTAATGACTTCTCAAAGACTAGCGTCTCGGGGTACTGGTCAAAAACCGATGAGAACCTCTTCTGCGAATGAGTGGGGGGATTGTGGGAGATCCCCTCACAGCGATTTAAGAAAAATTATAAAATTAATTTTATATTCTTTAATTATAAAATTAACTGTCATAACCTAACCTAACCAAACTGGCTGATAATATAAAAAAGATAGAATATAAAAATCCACTACACCCCGAACACCGATGGCTGATCTCGTATCGTTGCGGTAATGGTGTTCCCTCAAGACAAGAGATTGACGTCACGCCCCCCGCTTCTTCACAAAACTAGTTTCTCAAAGAGGTTTGCAGTAACATATGATTAGGGGTGACAATGTAAAATAAAGCATACCCTAGCTAAAAATGAAAATTTTTATCAAGGGTACTTGTTATCGAGGTTCCACTGTATTATAATCCTGTAAAGCAGTATGTACTGAGGAACGCTTGCTAAATAAAGGCTTTTTAAATTTTTTCTTAAAAACTCTAAAAAAATAAAATAAGATACCTATGATCAATTAGAGGTTAAGTTACCAATGTCACATTGGATCAATCTGTTGCTTAATTGTAACGTCAGCTGTTTTGTGCTACAACATTTTGAAAACATTTTCATGCTAATTATTAAGAATTCCTTTACGGTGTAATTCATTAAACATTTTCTATAGTGGATAGGACACAAAATATCAATATAAGTGAAACAAAACTTAAATTTCAAGTCAACTGAAATGATTAAACTGTTGGTTATGGTGCCAGTGAAATGTAGCGAGAGAGTTAATGTCAAGTTTTAGCGAATTTCCCATATAGGGAATAAGCTATTACCGTAGTACTCATGGTAAGACCTGGACGCAGGACCGATTTTTTGTTTGTTTTGAGGTCCCTAGAGGCCAAAAACACCATCCGTTCAAATTCATATATATATATATATATATATGTCCGTTAGTGCGATAACTCGAGCAAAAATGATCCGATTTTGATGAAATTTGGTACAAACGTGTAAAACTACATTTATTCGAACGAGTTCGCGATCCAGCATAATCGGACCATGGGAACAGGGGTTTATGGGGTAAAAATGGGTTTTTCCCATTTTTGACCCTAAAAACAAAAAAATTTGCATTTCTTTCTAAACCGTTTTGTAGAGCTTAAAAAAAGAAATAATTTAGTATATTGAAGCGCTGTTGTATGCCTAACTGTCACGGAGAAAATTAAAAAATAGTGTAATTTAAAATTCCTATGTTATTCTTATGGAGAAAATTAAAATTATTGTAGGGCCTACTTTACTTGTTTATGGATATATATTGATAACATTATGCAAATTTATTTATTTCATCCTATACTATTGACGTATGGTCAAAAAACACTTTACCTTCCCCGTAGCAGCAAACCTAAGCACTCGTTAAATCTAATCCTATATATAATACGAGTAAAATTAGAATACAGTACTTGTTACTTCGATCTGGGAATCGGCTCTAACAAAAACGTTTATTTTTACGGAATAACTAAGTTCTGGGTCAAAAATAAGTTCTAGACCAGTGGTATAGCCAGGAAAAATCTATTTTCGCCATAATATGAGAACAAACTTTTGAAAATTTAACATGGGCCTTATGAGAAAACATTCCGCCATTATTGTCATTTGTTTACATTTTAAGACATAACTTGGCGTTCTGTACCCACGGGCACCTCAGCTTGCGCATGCACAGAATGCTCTTGAAGCACATTCCGAGGTAACTGTTGTACTTCTGATGTGTATTAGCTTCTGACATACAATTTTGTCAACTAGAGACAGAGAGAAAGAGGACGACTCGACTTAGCTCCAGTTCATTAAATCGTTTGATGTACCGGTATAAGAATTTGTATTACATTATAAAACTTTCCAGAGTAATGAGTTTCTTATCCATTAAAACACTATTCTTACATTATCCTCAGCTGTATTACTGTTTATTTAATACTTTTGCCAATATAAACGAGCAATATATTTGATTTTTAACGCTTTTAATAATAATTATCATCACTAAATTACTCTTTTCGTCAGTTATCGAGTCGTGTCGTCAATAATGTCGTCTGATTCTGACTGATGTCAGATGTTACACTGAATCGGTCACAAGGATAATAATTAGTTGTAACCTACAACTAGCTTACCTAACTAAGTTTTAGTGTTGCTATTAGCAGTGTGGGATGATTGCACTGGACAATTTAGCTATCTATTTCAGAAAAATAAAGTTTAAAATAAATCAAAACTCTAGGATCTGTTCTTAAGTTTTGGCCGTTTTGAGATGAATGCTTTCAGAACTCAGTTTAGCCTAGCCTGAACAACTAGACTAGTAGCTTGACTTAGTGGTTCATCCATGTTTAGTTTATTAACACTAATCAATGCCTAATCTAGATTCTAGATTATACGTGCCTTATTCTACTCCGTTTTAAAACTAATATACATAGGCATAAGCTTTAATTTTTGTATTAAATACTGGGTTCATCATTAAGGTAACTCGGTTAGGTTGCTTTTTATAAATAAATAATTGTATGAATCACTAATACCCTATATCATCTAAGTGTGTTCAGTACATAATGACACTCTCTCAAAAAAGTACTAATCCTAACCCCAAAAAAATAGGTAGGTAGCTTTAGGCCTAAAGAGTATGAGTGTTTATATTTATATCACTTATATTTATATCTCTGTGGTTAGGTTTTAGTTATGTTTGCCTTAAGATGGCTATAAGCTTAGGACTAGATATAAAATAACTCCCAATTAACTTATAGTGCAGCCTAGCCCTAATTTGTCAGTGTCAATGAAATAGTGCAATATCAAGGACAACCAAACTTGGATATACAACCATGTTTATACCTAAGGTTCCTTTTTGGTACTCACCAACAAGGATCAACCGTAATTGTTTTCAGTCAGAAAGTGTCCTGAGTTTCCGGAAAATTGTAACTTATTATATTTTAAAAATTAAGGGTAAATTAAACGTTTCGGTTCTGGTTTCGGAGCGAGTCCAAGTTCTTGCAGTGACTAATACTTCAAAGGAAGGAAGGTGGGAAGATTTTCTTACTGCTGGTAGCCTTTTTCGAATTCAGCGTGAAAAATACTGGGTAATTTCTATAGTTTGGGCCATTTAGGGGAACCAAACAAATTTTTAAAAACTCTTCTATCTCATCATTTCAGTAAACCATGATATTATTATTTGAATAGAAGTTAAATAGGTGTCAAGAAAAAATATACCACAAATTATTATTTTTGGGATAGAATTACATTTGACCAAAGAATACTCTTTAAGTGTAGTGTAGTGATAAAGTTTCCCGATGCAAAGCTCGGTCCCCAGGTACTGTTATTTAAACAGGGAATAAATAACCTATGTCTTATTTATGGAATTATTTTAGTAGAAATATAATCAGACAAGTTGAAATTCGCTTAGTCTGCAGGTTTGCTGCGACGGGGGTATTTTAAATTGTATTTCATTTTAATTATTGTATATGTAGATGTTTAAATATTTTCCAACAATACAACCATAGACAAATAGAATGAATATAGTTAACAGTCAGGAAGGTTCCACGATGTGCCGCTAGAGTGTGTTCGATTTGCTGCCGTCATCGGCTCCTCATAGTATGCTACCAGCAGACGCTGCAGCGATGTGCGCCATAATTACACGGCACTCCTATCGGTGGACGCCCGAACATATGCTAACCGCAGCACTGCTGTCGGTCTATATGTATTCTATTTGTCTATGATACAACTGACAAACTCCACGGTGAGAGATTTGAACCAGATTGATAGATAAGTATTGACCTAAACACATGCCCAAACACAGGTGCGTAGTGTTATCATTATCAATAATTATTTTTTCTGTATGTTAAGTACTCTTTGCATTTTAGTATGCAATATGGGAAGAAAGAGATTTTTGATCTCAGCTTTGGACAGCCTGATAAAGCTGTGGTGCAATCAAACTACAATGGATTGAACATATGCTAGTTGGGACGATCAAGAGATCAATCCGTCTTACTAGTTGTTGTTTCAGATTCATTAAAATAGAAAGCCACAGGGTTTTCATAGGTAAAACACTTGTTATAGAAACTTATTTCCTGTGTGTTGCTATTAACTTATATAACAGCAAACATTTTTAATAATTACCTCTCGTCTTTTTCCTTCTTGCTCATTTTCTTGTCTTCAGCGAGCTTCTTAGAAACTTCACGTGTTACCGCTTCTTCTCTTTTGACAGCAACCTGTCCAACAACAATATGGGTACGGTATGAGTGATATGAGCAAAATTTTTAAAAGATACTTTAAACATTGTTCGAGGTTAACTTTGCTTATGGTAAACCAAACAAAATTAGCATTGATAGCAAATGAAATAATAAATTCAAACAACTTTCCAGATCCAAACATCGGCTTGGTTAATAACATTGATAAGTTAGTAAATAAAAATAATGACATATATAAAATTGAAGGCCATCCAATTTTTTTTTCTTTTCAATATCATTACAGTAAGATGTGTTTTAATTTCTCACCTTGTGTTTAAGTACGAACTTTGTGTTCTTGTAGGCCAGAGCTACCAGGTAAGCACTGCCGAGAGTCACTACAATGAATGGAATGATGGAAGGGTACAAGTCAATCATGTGTATTCTCCAGAAGAGCCCTGAAAAAAAAACACAATGGTTCAAATAATGGTGAATGAGCAAACTAATCAGCTGTTTGTAGACTAATCATCGCCTGAAACACAAGCTGTTAGCAGCCTAGCCTTTTCAGTACTTTCCTGTTAAAGGGAACATTCATTATTATCGATGATTTATTTTCGATACATCAATATTTTATTTTTTCATTCGATATACCTATTAATATTAACAAATTATTATCAGCTGGTAACTACGATAAATAAATATTGTTCAGTATAAACAAACAATAAAAAAAATTATATTGAAATGAAACTGTTCTAAACCAACCTAACTAACCAAACTTGCTGTAACATTTAAAAATTCCGTTTGATAGCCTGTTCCCCATATGCCTTTTCTATTATCAAACGGAATTAAGGGTTGCTGGTTTGGCGTTAAACAGTAGCCTACATTGATTTTAGGATGATAAGTTAGGCCTATAATACCATTGATTAATGGGTAATTTTTTTGTATTCAAAAGTCTTACTTCAGTGGTGTAGCAACCGTGGAGCGGTCGCTCCAGGGCGGAAAGCTCTAGGGGCGGTACTTCTTCAAGAAAATAAAACTGTTATATTTTTTTAAATTCTGATATTAACACGCAGCTTTATTATTGTTTTCTAACAATACCCCAGCTCTTAAAACCACAAAGGGTTGTAAAGATATTTTAAAAACACTTTCTTTAAAAAGTAAAGACACAAGACATGATGGGGCCCGAGTGCCTAAAGGACTAACCTGACTCGCATTAAATTTCTACTTCATCACATTAATATGTACTACAATTTAAACCTTGCTCATAGAATTAAGTTAACTGTAACTTACAAATTGGAATTGCCGAAACAATGAATGCGTTTCCATAAAACAACGCTGATGATTTGGTTGAAACATTGCGGCTAAAATCTTGGAGAAGCAACTCTTCTTCCTTGGTGAAAGTGGACTTATTTTTTAAAGACATAATACCTTAATAAGATATATTAATAATATAAATTACAATAGATACAAGTAAAATGGATATTTTAACCACTTAGCCAACTCTACAACTGATCACAATAAATACTTGCGAAAAATAGAAACAAGGGCTTGTGAACGGTCACCACAATGCAACGCAGGTGTACGAATGTACGATAAATTTAGAAGACGTCAACAAGCGTTTTGAAAATGTCTGCTGTGAATTGGCAGCTGACCCTAAAACGTCAGCAAACGTGTCCTCTGTACTTTTGGTTGAAAGGAAAGCCAACCATAAAGGATTGTTCTAACACTATAATAAATTCGGGGAGTCCCAGATGACCGACATAACAAATGACCGAAACCATAGACTAATGCCGAAACTTATGATTGTTCTAACACTATAATAAATTCGGGGAGTCCCAGATGACCGACATAACAAATGACCGAAACTTATATAGACATAGTCATGCTCATATTTGGCAGACGACATTCCAAACATTCAACAGTTTCAGCTTAAGGGAGTATGTTTTATCTATGATAAAACTATGATAAAACCATAGAAAAACATACATAGATAAAACTTACATGCTCCCTTTGTAGATTTCCCATTTTTATTGGGCAGCTGAAGCCACAAAGGGTTATTGTATAGTTATTTCTGTCCGGTGCACTAAGGAGGTCGTGTTTTGTTTACTATTTTTATCTTATTTCAGTCATTAGAAAACCCTGTTTAACAAAATAAAACGATATAATCATAAACAATATCTCATCCTCTAGTTATATAACCAAACAGTAAAGCAGAAATCATGAAATTAACTCTAAAATAATAGAAACAAAATTTCGTCAACACTAGCCACCAGTGTCGCCAGACATGAACTAGACATGAAGAACGAGCTTCAAAATATGATATATATAATATGTTGGTTGTTTGTGATGTATGTCAAATGCGGCAGTTGTGTACGTTTTATCATAGATAAAACATACTCCCTTAGGTTTTATCATAGATCAAACATACTCCCTTAGTAGATTTCTCATCCTTATGGAACAGCTGAAGACAATTTTATTGTTAGTTCATGTACGGTTTATGTAGAGGTCGTGTTTTGTTTACAATTTGTTTCCCGTCATTACAGCCATTTAAAACCTTGTTTAACCAAATAATACGATCTAATCATAAACAATAACTTGTCCCCTAGTTATATAACCAAACAGTAAAGCACAAATCAAGAAATTAACCCTAAAATAATGGAAACAAAGTTTCATCGACACTAGCGCCTTTGTGTCACGTACATGAACTAGACACGAAAAACGTGCTTCAAAATTTACAATGGGATGAGAAGTCTACTTGTGTTGGTTAGTCTATGGTTTTATCATCAAACCGAAACTGAAATAACCCACTTTGATTGGACAGAATAGCAATCCAACGGGTTGACGGCCAGTGTGCATGGTGAGGGATTGTGAGTGTGGCACCTTATTGTCGCCATCGTGCGTGGTGGCAAGTAGACGGGAGCGTAAACGACAACTCGTGTCATGATGGTACCATTGATGATTAGATACTGAAGATGGTACCAGTACCTACGTTGTCGGGCCGTCGGGGTAGTACACGGGTCAACCCATTACCTCGGGTATTTTTGGGGGACATATTGCCATGTTAATAAGAACAATAACGAATTTGTAAACATAAAAATTGCCCTGCCCATACATACACTCCATTGTAAATTGGTGCAACGACTGTTTTCAGAATTGCGAATTGCGGCATTTCCACTTTCGTCTCGCAGCGGCTTTTTACTAGGGGTGGCTATGCCATGACCCATTGAAAGGAGATTTGGATGGATCATGGTCAAGGCGCCCCAAATATCCCGGCGCCGGGGGATTTTCTGTATTATTATAGCTACAGTAGCGATAGCGATGTTAGTTTATCATTGACTATAAAAACTAACTTCTCCCATCTTGAAAGTTAAAAATTGATAATAATTTTATTAGCAGAGCATTGATTTTCGCTACAAATATTACATGCTGTTTTGAGCCCTGATAAAAATGTTAATCGCCAACCTCAATGGTAAATTGTTGGTTAGTCTAGATGCTATTGATCTACAGACAGACTTGAACTTGAGTGATGTATTTTTAAGGTCATTCTGATCTATTGTGCACATAGGCAGAAAGGGTGGGTTCCATAATATCGACAACCGTAGAAATTGATCGAAACTGAATTATTCCCAGTTTGTCGACACTGGAATATTCCCACTTAACCGACATCCCAAATAACCGACGTCGCAAATGATCGACACCACAAATTGTCGACATCCCATATTGTCGACAATGAAATAGTTTCATTTTGTCGACACTGAAATAGTCCCAGTATATCGACAAGCACCCGTTCTTCGGAGCTACTCTTGAAAAGGAGTTGTTCTAATTCATCGTTCAGTTCCTCAACTCACGAGTCGCAATATTTGATTCCGAATTCCGACGGACATCTTCAAGTTGGCCATTTATCGACTAAAAACTTTTATATTGTAGCCTAAATATTTATTTTTTTTATTTCTTTCCTTGTTTACAAGAAAATAGATAACTCGAGTGTTACAAACAATAGTTTTTAAGGAATAATGTGAAATAAGTTAGTTTTTATAGGATAGTAGAAAACTTAATCAACATGATAACTTAATAACATTACCAGACACTAACTTAGGTAAGTCACCAACAAGAACCTAAGATACCTTACAGCTTATTCGTAGGCTAATTCTGTATCATCAAGCAATATTGTAGCAAATGTTTGAATAGGCATTATCCCTAGGCTATTAGGATTGTCTCTTTTTCCTACTGACCCAGTGTCAACTTTAAGAATTTGTTTGTGTAAAAATATTTGGCTGCACTTTAGTTTATGTCCTACATTCATTCAAATGAAAGATATTAATACATAGACTATTTAATATTTTGAATATTTCATTCCGTTAGTTAGGTTAGGTTTTACCCTAACATTACCCAAAATTGATATAAGGTAAGTAGGCCTAAGTTTATTGTTGAATGAAATAATCAATATGACTGGGACAGGTGGCGTCGTCCTGTAATCCAGCTTAGGAGGTCACGAATTGTGGATATTCATAGGCATGCACTGTGGATGCGATACTCCCTGGTGTGGATTAACATCCGCACGAGTGAGTACTACGACTATCCGCAGTACTATCCTGATAATTAGACCAATTTGTATCTCAAGGCAATAATGTGGTTCGGATTCCACTATAAACCGTAGGTCCCTTAGTTGCCATTAGCTGTATGGGCTATTAATTAACAGCTGTGTCTAAGGAATGTCGGCCTTAGTCACTAACAAGACTACAAGATCGTGCCACTTATCCTGATCCTACACTCATTTCCATTCATACTTGGCTTAAAATACGGTACCTACTTTGTATGGTCGCCAAGTAATAAGAAAGAAAGTATTAAAGAAATATATTCATTGGAATGAGTGTAGGACGTTAAATTATGTGCTGTCAAATATTCTAGAGCTGTTTGTATTTACTAGACTTGGATTAAAAATGACATCAATGTTAATTTTATAGATGATCCTGGAGCAAAGGCTGTAATTTGACCTGAACCCAAATTGGTCTCTATTTGAAATATTGTCTTGAACCAATAAGTTAAGAGGACTAAGTAACCTTTCTGGACGACATTGCCATCGACATCACTGCAGATGAGAGAGAAAGAGAGACCAGAGTTGTGGACCCTGGAGGCAATTACCATACTGCCGTGATAATGTTACTTGGTCTAACCATAACTTAAGTGAGGTGAGTCAACATTCTTTCCCCTTTGTGATAGATTCTAGGCTATGTTTGTTAACTTAGTTATTCAAAGTTCACATGTGTACTTTGGTAAGTATTATCCGGAGGCTACAGATAGGCTATACAGCGCTTTGCGGCGGTTATGTTAGGTTGGGTTATCATAAATGAAAGGAAGATTTTTATGTCCTAGGCCTACTGTCCATATTTGGGTGGGTTCCATATTATCGACAACCATAGAAACTGATCCAAACTGAATCATTTGCATTTAGTGTTGAACAGAGTTTGAACAACTACACGTTGGTGAGTCGGTGGCTCAGTCGGTAGCGTCGCGGACTTCGGGCCCAAGGCAGTAGTGTCGTGGGTTCGGTTCCTGGTCACTGCCACTAACTTTTATCAGTACAGTTCACCTTTGTACTGTACCGGCTCACCCCTTGCTTTGCTGGATACGTTCCACGCACAGATCTGTAGTCTATGTGGACGGGCAAATGGAAGGTTAAAAGAGGCTGCCAACCTCTTTTTTTAAAAAAAAAAAAAAAAAAAAAAAAAAAACAACTAATTATTTATATGTTTTATGGTAACTTTAGGGAAAATATAATGTGTAACACAAGTGCAAACTGCCTTTGCTGCACTCGAGAAACTTTCCACACTCGCCTACGGCTTGTGCGTAAACATTTCTCTTAGGTGTAGCAAAGTGCCACTTCGCCCACTAGTTACCTACACAAAACTAACTATTATTAATAGTTTTTGGTGGAACATAAGGATAATTAATTATCTTTATGCAAATTTATAGTTTTTTTATAAAAATTTAAAACTAGGCCCCTACTTAAAATGTATTTGGATTTATCTCGAAACATGTTGTTTGGAAATGTCTTAATTAGGCTAGAGCTTGCATTTTTGCGAATTGGGAAATAACAAATAATTAATATTTAACACGTTCGCTACCGAGCGACGCACATATGCGTTGGTCCGGTCACTCCTACAGACCAAAAGGAATGATCATGACGTTGCTTACAGACCAAGTGATATAGGAATAACATTGCCAACAGACCAAAAGAGAAATATCGTTTAAATGGACAAATTGACTTCATATTAACCTTGAGTGAATTAGTAAGCAATAAATATTGTTTTTATTTATCGTTTTGAGCAAATTTTAAAACGCTGCATATATGCGTTGGTCAGTCTATTTAATGAAATCTAGATAAAAAGATTACCTACATTTTCGTTTCAATAGACCAGGCGACACACGTTTAAGCGTCGTTGTAAATTTGGTTGTTTCAAGCTTTTACACAAACAAATAAAGAAACTCCACCACTCGCCAAAAGTGCAAAGGTTATAACGTTTACATCTGTTCTGAGATGTCGCGGAATGCACAATGTAAACAACAATGTTGCCAACTGTTGTGTGACGTAACCAATCGTCATATCCACAGACCAAGCGACGCACATTTGCGGCAGATATCCCTCTAGACCGATACGATAAAATCAGGGCTTTAAAATAGACCGTTGCTAAGAAATACGCTGATTAATAACATTGAATACCGACGCAAGTGTGCGTCGTTAGTCTATTCCAATGTGATCAGCTGACGCAAATATGCGTCGGTGGTCTATTGTGAGAAACGAGTCGACGCACAATTGCGTCGCTGGTCTATGCGAACGTAAATTCCATATAATTGTGGTAGCGAACAAGTTAAACCAATTTATTTTGTCTAAACCAAATTATTGTTAAAAATTATAATATTTGTACTAACTTGACCCAGATTTGCTCAAACATTTTCCTATTAGCTGTACGTATTTGAATATCGCAAATATAGAAAGGAGTGTACACACTTGTATTATTTGTTGGACTAAAATTATTTGTATAATACTATTTTTTGCAATATTTCTGTACAGAACTGAAGCCTACCAGTAAAATGGGGGCGTTGTAATTAATATCCTCCGACATTGAAGAATACAGGGGAGAGGGGCAGAGGAAGAGGAGATGGAGGATGGGGAGAAGTAAAGACTAAGATTGAAGAGAACTAACTAATGGTAAGTTTTGCCATTTACTTAAATTTAATACTTATAAATCCAGGGCCGTATCCATTGCCCCCAAGCCTATGTCGCATAACCCTCCTGAATTACTAGTATTTAACCAGCATTTTAACTCGAGAGGTGCCCAAAAATTTGCTTTTAGCGAATTTCCCATATAGGGAATAAGCTATTACCGTAGTACTCATGGTAAGACCTGGACGCGGGACCGATTTTTTTTTTGTTTTGAGGTCCCTAGAGGCCAAAAACACCATCCGTTCAAATTCATATATATATATATATATATATATATATTTACCTATATATATATGTGTGTCCGTCAGCACGATAACTCGAGCAAAAATGATCCGATTTTGATGAAATTTGGTACAAACGTGTAAACGTACGTTTATTCGAACGAGTTCGCGATCCAGCATGATCGGACCATGGGAACAGGGGTTTACGGGGGGTTTTATGGGGTAAAAATAGGTTTTTCCCATTTTTGACCCAAAAAACATAAAATTTAGCAATTTCTTTCCAAACCATTTCGTAGAGCTTAAAAAAACAAATAATTTAGTATATTGAAGCGTTATTATGCGCCTAATGGTTACGGAGAAAATTCAAAAAAATTGTAAATTTAAAATTCTTATGTTATTCTTATGGAGAATAAGTAAACTGTTGTAGTTTGCTTGTTTGTGAACATATTTTGATCGAATTTGGAAAATGTTTGATCATTTCTTACTAACTATTCACATTTTACAAAAAAAAAAACAGTTATACCCTCCCTGATGCAGCAAACCTAAGTACTTGTTAAACTAATTCAATTTAAATCTATATAAATAAAATTAAAGTTTTGTCTGTACATTGCTTAGAATCATGCAGTTTTTGGTTATTATTACGTTTCATAGCCTAAGAAAGCCGAAACGAGTCTTATCTCAATTTCTGTCTGTTTGTCTGTCCATTCTGTGACACCGTCTGTAACGCCAAAATGTCATTTTACGCGGCCTACTCCTTGAAAACTAGAGTACAGATCAAGATTCCAATTATTTTTCTGTATTCACTGGATTGGCTAGAGTGTCTTTGGCTATTAAAATATGGCCTAACCACTTTTGAAAAAATATAACGAACCATCAAAAACCCAATTTTGTTAGATTTTTGTCAAGTTTTCTCCTAATGTTTACTATTACATTTTATGAAATAACGAACAGCTGTTTGGATCAATTCTCACTTCTAGCTGTCACTGATATGTTTAATTGTTTACATTACATTTTGTTTACAAATACTGCAACATTTCCAATCACATTTTGTACGCAAATCGAAAACCATTAATTGAGGAACCAAGTACGTTAATTGACCTTTTGACTTGCATAACGGATTTAATCGATCGCAAGTACTATAATGTTAACTGTAAATTAAAATAATCATCATCCACATTCAGGTCAAGAACCTGCAGATTCTATGTCTATAAAATTCAACTTAAGTTTTGATAACCAGGGAAAATACAGTAAATCAGTGTTGTATAAGACTGGGAAACTTAATTTTTTAAATAATCACCACTAATAGCCTACAATCGAGATTTTACGGCGTTTTGATCGCTGTTCTATCAAGTAAATAATTACTACAGTACTGCAGTGGGTGATCGCGGGTGTTGCTGCGATCCCGGAAGACCTTTACGATTTCGTTGTCAACGTTACAAGTGAGATTAAAAATGTTTTTCTTACATAACGGATTTAATTAAGTGCAATATCATAGTGTAACCGTAAATGAAATGAAATAACTAGGCATCATCCAGATCAGGAACCAGAAATTCTTTGTGTATAAAATTGTTCTTGAGTTTTTATAACCAGAAAAAAGACCTTGAATCAGTGTTGTATATGGCTGGGACAGTTAATGATCGTCGCCAATAGCTTACAAACAAGGTTTCCACTCATTGACGGCGCTTCAATGGCGATTGTGTAAAGTGTAAAGTAAAAAAATCACAACTGCAGTGGGTGATTGTAACAGAGGTTTACGGATGATGCTAAACTCGCTTTTCCAATGTGTCACTTTCTGTACTCACCGTGTAATGCAATCGCTGGACCATACAGCAAATAGGCCCATAGCCCATCTCTTGGGTACGTGTATGCCTTCCTATTTATTCATATAACAACCTTTTCGATGACGATCCTTGATACCAGTACTTTTCCATAGAATTTATAGCCTACCTACTTAAGAAATAAAATTACAAATGTCCAAAAACCCAACATTGTGTGATTTTTGTCACATTCAACTGACTACTATAAGATCCCCGTACGTAGAACGGGCACACAGCTAGTCAAGAATAAATGTTATATTTTTAAGTAGACATTTCAGTGTAAATCCAATCAGTCAAATGGAAATTCGCTTAGTCTGCAGGTTTGCTGCGGCGGGGGTATCGTTTTTTAGGAAATGTAGGCCATATTTTTTTACACCATAATTATAATTGTTCTGAATATGTCATAGTTTTTACATTTGGTAAGTACTGAAACAACAATAATTTTAAGACAAGAAATGGAAAAGCCCCTGTCAACAGAAGCAGTTGAAACAAGTATAAAAATTCTCATACATCAATAAGGTATTTAGTACAAACGTGGTTCAATAAGACCTTAGAAGAATATAGAATATCACAATTTTTTGTGATAATTTTGATTTATTTTGCTATAATCTCCTTTTATTTAGCTCTATACACTTATCTTAAAGTTTCTCCAACCTCGTTCAAATTATGTCCAAATAAATAGTACCCTACAAACTTGAAAAGCCTTCAAAATACTCTTCTGTTTCAGTGATGACCAGCTCCATGGCAACTAAAAATGTCCGCACGTAGGCCTTGAAACGCCCCTATCCCCACCACCTTCCGCCAGTCACTCGCCCGACAGGGCAGCAAAGAAAACTGTCAGATAATTTTGCCACACTCTGTACATCCTCTGACTGCCTGAAAATCCTACGGCAGCAAAAGAAGGCGTTGCGAGTCATCACGGGTAGTAGGAGGCGCGAACACTGTAGGCCGCTTTTTATAAGGACAGGCATACTGACTGTCTACAGTAGTTACATCCTCTCATCTGCAAAATATGTCCATGATAACCTGGGGAAGTTCAACAAAAGGAATGATGTGCACTGCCACAATACTAGGTGCAAAACAAAAATTGACATTCCTTTCCGCAGGCTAAGCAAAACCAGGGATGCTTTCCCAGTTATGGCCCTAAAGCTCTACAATAATCTCCCTGACGGAATCAAGCAGCTTGAGAGTAACAGGTTTGCCTCAAATCTTAAGAGCCTCATTAGAGATCAGCCCTACTACAGCTTGAAAGAGTTTCTCGAAGCAAACTTTGATAACAGTAGACCATTGTCCACGCCATCTGTGTGACACGTTACAACTCCATCTTGGAAGTTTTGTAAATTGTAAATAGCATTTGTAAATATGTATATATATAAATTATTTTGGACGCAGCTTATCCAGTGTGTTACTGGTCTCAGGCTAAGAAGAAGGTAATCAGGTACATTATATTTTGTCCTATACAAAATGGGATATATGGGTCGGCACTTATATATTGATCCAAACGATTACTGCAATTGTGGCAAAATTAAACGATATTGTCCTCGGTAATGACCAAATCGTGATTGCAGGGTCGTCATCTTCATCTCCCAAGGTCGCCAGTGGTTAAAATTGTGGGCATCCTCGGAGCAATCGTGAACATCTTTCGCGGTTGCGAGGCCTGATTATCGTCACCCGCAATCGCTGGTAGTCGTAAATTTCGATCACGCAATCTTTGCAGACGCTTTCGGCTATCATGAGAATACAAGACAAACTTGGATTATTGTACCCCCTAATTCTAACAGATTGTGGGAAAATTAATTTTCCAAGAGAAAAAGCATTCTTTTGAGGCCCCAAGTGTGTCCCCTTCTCAGGCTGAAGCCCTTGGCAATCGCAGTGTCCACTGTTAGGGGAATACGGCCCTGATTTGGAGGCCTATGTTGGTGTGGGGCCTGGTGCAAACCACCCCCCCCCCTCAGTACGCCACTGAGTAGCCTACATTAAATAATGATAGAAGTATGCATAAAAAGACTCTTTGTTCAGAATACTGTTTTTAATATTAATTTTTGTTCTGTTATATCCAGGCCTGATGACAGGGTGGATGGCGATGGAGGCATGGAGGTTGGGGGAGAGGAGGCTGAAGAAGTGGAGACAAGTTTGGATCCATTATGTTGATTAGTTTAACATTTATTTTGAACATCAGTATTTACATTTTTTTCTCATTTAGATTATTAAATTAAGATAATTTTATTGTTTTTATGAAGATGTTTTCTTACATTTTTAATATTTGTTTGTACTTCTGCCTGGTAAAAAAAATACTGTTTATTATGTTTGTTAAAATGATTACTTTCACTAACTGACCTTGTCTTGGGTAACAAGAGATATCTTGATATTTAACTAGCAGGGTGCCTGTTCTATGGGCGGGGATTGTATAAGTCAGTAGAAACCTTCTTATATTTCGATACTTGGTAAATTAACCATTTCCAACTTTATATAGTATAGATCGCTATTCCTGTATTGATGTACTGAAATGAATAAAATTATATGAAATTAAATGTTTTTTTATATATTTTGATGACACACTATTAAAAAGGCATAACAATATTCTAAAGTTTATAACAGCTAATGTTTGTGTTTTTATTAATGATTTATTGTGACTTTTGAGTGATTGAAGGATTTGTGATTTGGTTTTAAGGAGATTGATGTACCTAATTTTTTTAAATCTATATACTTATTAAATACGCAAGCAGGTTTTTTGTGACAATTACTTCTCCGAAATTACTGAACCGATTGACATGTTTTTGGTGTCATTGGAAAGAGCATAACGTGAAGTTGTGCAAGAAACTTTCTTTTTAGGGAAATAATTAGAGAGTGAGGACCTGGGGCCCTTTAAATTTTCGTATTTCTCCATAAGATTAACATGGCAAACAAACATTGTTATGAAACTCC